CCCCCTCCCCCTCCACCCAAAAGGACGCCCCCACCGCGTGGCATCTGCCTTTGCTGCGTCGTTGGCTCAATTCGGGCGCGGCCTCACGCAAACCTTGGTACCGAATGCACATTCGCCAACACGGACCCTGCCTGACCCTCCGCTTAGTGGATGAGCGGTTAGCACTGCTACCGAGTGCTGGTGCTAAGGCAGGCACTAAATAAGGAAGACGGCCTGCCTGAGGGCGACTACCAAGCCTTGCGCGCCTCCCGTCCAGAAGCTGGCCCGAAGGTCAGGTCGTTGGACCAGAGCACCTCCCCTTCCTCCAATCGCGCCCCCGTCGGCCAAGACCACCACTCTCATCTCCTCGTCTCGTCTCGTCTCGTCTCATCTCGACTCGTTCACCACCCGCCTGGCCAGAGATATCTGTCCGCAGACCATCAACTTCGCGCGCTCGCCGCCCGCCTGCTCCCCCTTCGAACCCCGAGCCCTGCAATCACTCGGCCTCATTATTCTGCTGACGAGCTTGACGGTCACAGAGTGGTCATGAACACCACGTACGCTGCCGAGCAGCAGATACCCGTGGCGGGCGCTGCGTATCCTCCCTCGTCCGCTTCCACGTCTGCCTCGGTGGCCAGCTCGACGACTTCGTACCCGTCCTATCAGCCGCCGCAACAACATCAGCACCACCACCCGGCACCTCCTCAGAACCAGAACCCCCACCCGCACCTGCACCAGCACCACCCTCACCAGCACCTCCAGCTTTCACACCAGCAGCATCCGCATCAACCCCAGCAGCCTCCCTCGCGACAGTCGCAACCTAGCCCTCATGACAGCCATGCCCACCACCAGCCCCCGCCACATTCTCACCCTCATCCTCACCAGCCTGCCCAAGCGCCCCTGCCGCCATCTACATCTGCGCAACAACACCGCGGCATGATGCCGCCGCCCCAGCTTCAGCAGCCGCCGCCGCCGGCGCAAAGCCTTCCTGCCCCCAAGCAAGAGGACCCTTCGTCGGCCGCCGCCGCCGCGGTCACGGCCATGCTGAAGACCTGTTCCAATGTGGACGAATCCACTGGCCGCAAATACCGGTTCGTGGACTTGATGTTAAATACCCCAGCGTTCAAACAGCTTAGACTCACACCCCGTGCGCACAGCTTAGATGTCGTTCAGCAACCCAGGCGAGCTCGCATGTGCGGCTTTGGCGACAAGGTCACGACTTCCTCTCTCAGTGCTTGATTGTGCAGGCCGATATAGACTGACATTTACCAGGACCGAAGGCCGATCACACCACCGCCCTGCGTCCGGCTCATCATCACCGATGCCGCTACTGGGAGAGAAATCGACTGCAAGTGAGCCGGCCTGAGCCCGTTTTGGAAAGCGCCAGCCGGTCCATGGACGCTAATAATCACGACAGTGCCATTGACCATTCCATGTTTGTTCTCAACGTGGACCTCTGGAGCGATGATGGATCTCGCGAGGTCAACTTGGTACGGTCGTCCACCGGCAGTCCTTCCATCTCATCCACAACGCCTTTCTCTTACTCCACGCTCAATGGCGGGGATCCGTCTATGAGCCCGTACCCCCAGCACGTTCTGGCATCCAGCCGCGACGGATCCTATCCCCCGGCGCAAGCAGGGCCCTACGTCTCGGACTATCAGGTGCAGCCTGGGTACAATCAAGGTACGCTGCATCCTCGAAACCTTGCCGCTTCGTTTTGTTGACTCGACGTGCCAGGACCTTCCCCATTCCCGCCAAATGGGTCCTACGGCCCTCCACAGCAGTACTTCCCGCAGCACCCGCAGCACCCGCAGCACCAAGGCTACAGACACGACGGCAGCGTGCCGCCATTGCCCTCGCAGGCAAACATGGTTCAGTTCAATCGAAATGGCGTTCCCGTTGCGCCAGGCTACGGCCCCGGTCCGGCGGGGGTAACAGTGGTGGGCAACCAGCCGCAAGGCATGTTCACACGGAATCTCATCGGGAGTCTGGCAGCAAGCGCCTTCCGCCTCAGCGACACGACGGATCACATCGGCATCTGGTTCGTTCTCCAAGATCTCAGCGTTCGTTCCGAGGGCACATTCCGGTAAGTCTCGCAGTGCGGATGGTGCGTTGGTTGCCAATCGCTGACTGGAGAACGCAGCCTCAGGTTCTCCTTCGTGAACGTCGGGGCCCGCGGTGGATCCCGTCGGGATGGGAACGCCCCGAAGATCAACACCGGCCGAGCCCCGATTCTAGCATCCTGTTTCAGCAATCAATTCACCGTCTACTCGGCAAAGAAATTTCCAGGAGTGTGCGAGAGTACACCACTAAGCAAGACTTTCGCGACGCAGGGAATCAAGATTCCCATACGGAAAGATGCGAACGTCAAGGGCGGCGATGACGACGACTATGGCGAGTAAATTGGCTTTGGCACAATGGCAACTGATTAGGTTGCCCGCTGCCAAGTCCCCCTTGGTAGTCGCAAGGGCAGCCCCGAACTGCAACAGACGAGCAGGTACCGACGCGGCACCCCTGGCTTTGGCCGCTGGACCCGTGTGCGGGCAATCGCACTCATGGCAAGCGGCGAGGTTCCTCAGAGGACGCAAAACCGCCAGATTTTGAGTCGATGCAGGGGCTCTGGGACAGACACAGCCGTTATGGGAGGGCTCAGCGGGGAAGCGGCTCGGGGATCTCCCAGTTGCTGACCATTACCAACGCGAGAGAGCTGCGGAAAGCCTTGCATACATGTGCTATCTACGCGACGCGGGAGTCTTTCCAGATCGGTGGCGTGGGAACGATCTGTGGGCTCTGACGGCTTCTTGCCGGGCAACAGCGGCGAGAGTCTGGTGCGGATGTCCAGCTCCTGTACGAAGTGACGGCAGGTGCACGTTCTCGCGAAGGCGGGCGGGACTCAATGCTCGTCAACGGTGAAATATCTGACAGCCCGTCACCGCCGTCTTGCCAAGATATGGTAACAAGGAGGCGGCAAGGGGCCAGGAATGGTCAGTGCAGGGAACTGTCAGGCACATCGACGCCCCAGTACTCAAGGAGGTCCGATAGCTCGATGTTATTAGACATCACTACATTGAGCACCTCTGCGAACTACAGTCGATTTCACGGCGCCATTGTATGCCAATGGCGGAATGCATTGTTTATGCCGCAGCGATAGGGCAATACCGCGAGGCTGCCTGTAGTCTACTTAGGTTTAGGTACCTCGTTAGCGTCGCGCCACCAGGCTCGGCGCTCTGTGCTTAATGTTTAAATCGTTGCCTACCCCGTTCCCAACAACCGTCGCCCGCCACTTCTGAACCAGATCAGCCCAGCCCAGCCCAGCTCCTTCGCTGCTTGCGCTGCGACTTCACTGTCCCGCGTCTCCCTGCCCGCAGAGCGACACTCGCCACGGCCCGCGAGACATCCCGCCGCGAGACCGCATCGAACCTCTCCCTCCCCTCGCCTCTACAAGCCTGTTCGCGCGCAACCAGCATCGTGCCCACCACGTCCTCCTCCCTTGCCGAAAACCGCAGTTTCGAAGCCGTGAACCGCCAGTCCTGTGCCGACGGCCAGCATGGCGTCCCCGGCCGGAAATACCGGCGGCAGCAAGCCGCAGCCGCAGACACAGACATCTGACCAGCAGCGGCCGACCTTGACAGCGTCGCAGCTCTCGTCGCACGGCCGCGGTGGTGCGGGCAACATGGCCGACGCCCGGCAGTCGCCCAAGCTGAAGCCGTCGGACCTCGAGACGCCCGTCCTTAAGAAGCCCGTCGTGACCACGGGCCGCGGCGGCACGGGCAACATGGCCAAGAACGACGACCCGTACGAGACTCGCCTGCGCCAGGACGTTGAAGGGTACGCCCCCGGCCCCCTGTCTCTCCCCTATTCTCGATACATTGGTGTCCTTGTCGGGACCACGATGCCCTAGATCGAACTTGCAGGCTGACGTGAACGGCAGCGTCCCCCGCCGGTACTCATCCGGCGCGCAGCACGCGGGCCGCGGCGGTGCGGGCAACATCTTCCGCGACGACGACGGCGCCGAGCTGGCGCGCAAGGGGAGTCGCGAGCAGGCCGTCGTGGACGATGGGACCGCGCACGCTGCCGGCCGGACCAGCAGCCCCGTTACCCCCGGGACCGAGTCGCTCGCCGCCAAGGGCAAGAGCTGGCTGTTCGGGAAGAAGGCGTAGAGGCTCGGCGCTCTCGTCTACTTCTACGCTGTCCATCTATCTCTCTATCCCTCTCTATGTATATGTACGCTGGGTGTAGTGGCGTTGTGTTTCGGCCTTTTTGCCGAGTCCAGGCTGTTCCAGCTGCGGTTCTTCATCTGGTGTCCGCGGTGGGCGGCAATCCCATACTTTCTAGCCCTGGAATTGCCATTCTGAACAGGGTCGAGGGCGACTGTTGGGCGACAGGCGCGAGGGTGTACTTCGGGAAAGACGAATGTCTAGATACCACGTTTTGTTTCGCAGGAGCAGGACGGGAGAAGGTTCAAATTTTATACGGAAAGTTTTGCCCACATCGTCTCTTATGAGACTTTTTAGCCTTTAACCTTTTCTATCACCCCGTGGGGACATGTATCGTATTATCTTGTCAGTATCATGGCAAACCGCGTTCAAGCCTTGGTCAGACGATGAATCTCCTCAAAGAAATGCTTGAGGTTGTCAGGGTTGACGCCGGGGGTGATACCTGTTCACATGGGATTAGCATACGCGTTGCGAGTGGTCTATTGAGCTGGCAGGGAGGCTCACCATGGCCCAAGTTTGCGATCCAGCCCTTGTTGCCGACCCAGAAGCCCTTGACCATCTGCTCCACCGCTTCCGTTATGGCCTCCTTGGTGCCGTACAGGACACCAGGGTCGGCGTTGCCCTGGAAGACAACGTTGCGAGAGCCCCTAATCTTGACGGCCTCGGCAGGGTCCTGCAGCCAATCCATTCCTACGACGTTGTAGCCGAGGCTGCAGGCCGAGTCCAGGGCGTGCCAGGCGCCCTTGGGGAAGACTGTCATCGGGACGGCATCGAGACCCATACTCTTCAGCTTCTCAGGCAGCTTCTGGGCAATATGCGCCAGGTACGGCTCGGAGAACCGACTGAAAGACGCCGGGCCGAGTTCTCCGGCCCACGAGTCGAACACCATCACCAGCTAATTAGTCAAGCACTGTCAGCGTCCAAGGATCGTGCATGTTACTGTGCGTTGGAGCCGTACCTGAGCCCCGGCCTTGACCTGGAGGGCGAGGTGATCAACACAGATGTCGGCAATCTTGTGCAGCAGCTTCTTGGTCTCCTCCGGATACTTGTAGATCCACGTCTTGCTCTGCGCAAAGAGCTTGGTGCCACCTCCTTCGACCATGTAGCAGAACAAGGTCCAGGGCGCACCGCAGAAGCCAATCAAGGGAACCCTGCCAGCCAGCTTCTTCCTGGTGAGCGTGATGGCCTTGTAGACGTAGTCCAGCTCGTCGGCGACGTTGACCGGTCGGTCGAGGACGGTCTGGTACTGGCCGTCGGTGGGCGACTGCAGGGGGTTCGGGAAGTGCGGGCCCTTCTTGTCCACCATCTCGACCACCATGCCCATGGCTTGCGGGATGACGAGGATGTCGGAGAAGATGATGGCGGCATCCAGGAGCCCGGCATATCGCTCGACGGGCTGGAGGGTCAGCGTCGATGCGACTTCGGGGTCGCGGCAGCACTCGAAGAAGTCGCGGTTGCCCTTGGCCTCATGGTACTCGGGCAGGTAACGGCCAGCTACTTTTCGTCAGCAATCCGGCAGGCAATTGCAAACCCTTCGGTCAAAGCCGCATGGTTTGGCGTACCTTGTCTCATCACCCACATGGGCGGACGCTCGACCTCCTGTCCTGTTGAGTGCGTCAGCGACGGATGCTCGATAGCGGCAGCGTGGGCTTCTGCGCACCCCATGCTGCCCGGAGCAACAGGTCGTTCTTCAAGGGCTCGAATGAGTGCTCCATGGTGTCCCGAATGAACTTGGCCGCCGAGACGTGGGAGGGAGTGGGCGTCGGATGTACAAGTAGAGCTTGATGTCGACCCCAGCGCATGTGCTCGGAGCGCAAAAGTCACCCCGCCATTATCCAAATGCGGGCCACGACAGGGTCAGTCCTCGGCCCGTTGCGAAAGGTTGACCAGCAGCCCGGAGCTCCGTCTCCAGTCTCCGGGCAGTCTCCAGCGGCAACAGGGGGGGTTTCAGTTGGTGACAGCGCTCTCGCTGCAGGTACCGACGGCCAGGTCTGTCAGGTACATTGTCTTGCTTGGCCAACACTACAGAGCCAAAGTACCGCAACACCCACCGGAGCCAGTCGGCCCGTGTCAACACCGCTGTGATCTGTCTCCGCGACAGCTGCTGACAGCAACCTAGTTAGGTCGCGCGACTGGGGGGCACAGCTACCGATTCGTACCAGAGCTCTTAAGTTCTACCACCATCACTCAACGAAGCTCTGCGACGGACGCGCCCAACATCACATCCCCCCCTATCGCCCCCGACACACCAACATCTCAGCTACCGCCGACGCTCCCTCCTCCGCTTGTTGTATCCTCCCATCGTCCACGATGCCGTCCGAACGCGACTACCAGATCCGGCCCATTGCGCAGGACTCGGTCATGCACAATTCCAAGGTCTGCATCGCGCATCTTCGCCTCTAGCTCCTGGCCCCCTTCTAACTGCCCATCCATCTCCTACAGAACTTGTCAAACCTCCACAGTCTCGCCGGCTCCCTGTTCGGCGTCAGCGCCGGCATCCTCGGCCTCGAGTCCTACAGCGGCTTCCTCTTCTACCTCGTCTTCTCGACCATCACGACGCTCCTCTTCTACGTCTTCCAGGTCGCACCCGAGTCGCTCGCGGAGAAGAGACCCATCCTTGACACTGGCCGCTACTTCCTCAGCGCACTGGACTTTTGGACGAGCGGGATATTCGGAGGCTTGTCTGGCTTTGTTTTGACGTGGACATTGTTCTATGGTTTAGTAAGGGCATGAAGAATTATGACGAGTGCACACACGACGAGACCAATCAAAGCATTCTAGAATACGGCGCAATGAACGTGCATCCGCAGGGCCAATTTTCGGTTCGCGATATTCAAAAGGGAGATCTAGCCTTTAATACGCCCAACAGGAGCCAAACTCACCAGGCAGGACTCAATCCACGATCTCAACCACGCGACCCACATGACCCTCGAGTCCTGACCTGTCCTGGCTTCCACCCTCAAGAAGAATCACCTTGGAGCCCATCTCAATCCATTCCCGGTTATGAAGCAGCTCAAGGGTGACTTCCCACGCCTGCCCCATGCCCGGCAACCCTGTGATGTCAGGCTCTTCTATCCCATCTCCGCTCAGACTGAACATGTCAATGTCCTCGGTGGCTGTCTTGCCCGTTGCGTCGAGCCATCCGCTGCGAGAGACCCGGAGTATCCGCGCGGCAGCCCGAACACTAGCGACGTACACGTTGACAAAGGACCCAACTGCCAGACTCTGCACAGTAGAGTCGGCAAACGTTGCAGTGAAGCCGCTGGCAGCCTGCAGAGATAGCCCCGTGTCGAGCATGTGCTTTGACGGTATCGCCAGGACCATGCCGCGGCGAATGCGAGGCACCTCGCCGCCGGTCATCTCATCGTTGGGCAAGCAGTGGTCCGCGTCGAGGTCGAGAACAAGACCAACGGATCCAGCTTGCCCAGCTTCGAGCGTCCGCACGGCTAACCGCAGATTGCGAATGCTTACAATCTGGGCTTTGTGCCATTCCCCTGCAATGGTCGATGCGGAGACTGCGTTCTTCATTGCGATGCGGGCCAGCTCAGCCGACGAAGGATGCGATATGGACAAGCCGTAATTCCCTGGGGATGGGCGATCGTCCACACCTGCGCCAAAACCACGAGACTCCTCATCCTCGGGCTGAAAGGGGCCAACCACAATCCTGTCGCCCACTGAGAGGCTGCCAAAACGGACATACCCAGAGACGACGACTCCTTGGTCCGTCCTGCGACCAGAGCCGGAAGCCAGTGCGCTGTATGAGCCCGCCAGACTGAAGGTATCATCAACATGAAACAGGCACTTTGGCTGCTCCGGATTCAGGACCATCCCGACATAGTCTCGGGCTGTTGGGGTTGGCGGTAAAGGCAAGCCGTCGAGGAGTGCATGAACGAGTCCGATACCGATGCCCTTGACGGAGCTCGTCAAAACGATAGGGACGTGTGATGTCAAACTGCCGCTGTCCTCGATACTCTGAACAACAGCTTTGACCTTTGCCCTGTCCTCTGCCGGTATCTGCTTCAATTCGTCATATTGCCTCTGGTCAGGTTGGAGGATCTTAGGGATTCGCCCGGCTTCCTTAATGGCGGTGAGAACCTTTCCCATGGTCTTTTGCAAGCTGAGCTTGGACGCTAGGTCTAGCTTGGTGATGACAATCGCCATAGGCACGTCCAGCTTAAGTGAGAGGGTCAAGTGAGCCTTGACGAGATCGACGCCGGCAGCTGCCGCCCCAAGAACATCCTGCGCGGACGAAGTCGCCTCGACACCGTTCGAAACCCCTTCGTGCGCATCCGCAGCGATGCAAAGAATACTCCAATGCGGTGCCCAGTTCATGAGGCCGCGCAGAACTGTGCGCCGATAGCGAGGGTGGCCCCCCGAGTCGGACACAAAGACCAGCTTCCCATTCTCGGCGCAGTCGTGAATGTCTATCCAAGACTCGATGTTCCCTTGGGAGAAATTGAGAATAGTTTGGTCTTTGTATCCGATGAGTTCCTGGGCGATGGAACTGGTGACACCGGAGACCAGCTCGTGGCGGTGTTTGAGCAGGGACAGACGGCTCTTTCCACGCCCGTTGTCTAGCGTCCCCGTAGAGAGGGTACCAAGAAGGCTCGACTTTCCGGATGTCGTCGGACCTGTGAGGGTGACCCGGAGCTGCGGCGTTGCAGAGCTGCCTCGTCTCGGCTCAGTCACGAGTTCTGGGGTGTTGGCAGTCTTGGCACCGGTCGACTCGCCAGAGCTCAAGCCTTGTTCAGATTGCATGTCGTCCCGAAAGCCAAGGTTTGGTGTCACCAAGGCCTCCGCCACCCATAGCTTTCCGCGTCTGGTCTGGTGAGTTTGGGCAGGAGTTGCGGCGTTCCCAAGGTCGACGGACTCGGTCCACTCGCATTCGCCGACAATGACCGTGCGGACGATGTCGACGGTACACCCGAGGCTGGCTGCCATAACGCGCAATGTCGCAATGCTTTCACTCATCTCATCCTTTGTGAGGCCGACAAGGGTGCCGTCGTCGGAGACGCCTATTTCATATAAGGCGCCTCTAGACTCCTCAAGACCCGGCACCAGCGCCTCAAGCTTAACAGGCGACTTGAGGTCGACAGAGTCATCAGGAAGCTTTGGAATAATCAACTCCTTGGAGCTGGTTGCATGGTAGGGAGACGACTGCTGCAGCCTCCAGAGGAGTTGCGTTGTGAGATGCTGCAGGCGTTCCTGCCGAGGCTGGCTCGAGGCAGCGGGCGCGGCCGGCGACTTTGCCGGGTTTGCCTCGCGCGGCCCGGCCTGCTGAGAGCCGCTTACCCGGCTGGAGGTACTGACAGAGGTGTATTTGCGCCTCGGCCTGAGGAGGAGATGGAGCTTGTACTCTGTCGGGCCCTCCTGAGGCTCGGCCTGGAGCTTGGTGACGCCATAGTCGGACAGCAAGGCGGGCGCTGGCGAAGGCTTGGGCGGCTGATTGCTGGTATCTTCTGGGGCAAGCCATGGAGACGACACCCTTGGCGGGTCGGGGTCGTAGGTGAATATCGAAGCCATGGTCGAGGGCGGGACAAATGACTAGACGGCGGTACGTGCAAGCCGTCTTCTCGCCAAGCACTGGACTCTATCGTTTCCAAGCGTCGAGAGCACGTGTTTTCGGGTGATCATTTTCAATGAGGCGGTTTCGTTGGCCTGTAAGTCTGAGCGTTGAGAGCAAAGACGATGTTTGGCGAGGGCAGGGTTGACGAGGCTCTGGCTTAAGAGTCATCCCGGGAAGGTGAGGTCACCTGTCACCGCCGCCGTCGCGAGCCATTGACGGTCGTGGTTGGCCGCAGCTTCCATGTTAGTAATTGGGCAGGCCGGCGCCAGATTGGCCGACGGGAGTCGCTGGCTCTCCCACAACCCACGGCCTTGTGCGCTGGCTGCCCAAGTTTGGAAGCTGCGTCGCCGTTTTTCGGCTTTGGCTGTAATCGATAATGGCATCATAGACGGCGCAACGGCCCAAGTTCGAACGTCGGTACAATGTATCAACACTTCATACTCTGGGAGTTGCCCCAAGCCGCAGCGGGCCTGCTGTCCGTCTCCGCGATCAGCAAAAGCGGACCGCCTGACGACTAACGTTTTGGGACGGGGCAATTCGTGGTTCAGCGCAGGTAGCGGCAGGGGTGGGTCGGTCTCAGCGACCCCGGGAGCGCTGAAGATGACGGCTGAGCCGACAAACTACCTACCTAACATTCACTGCCAGCGACTGGCTGGGACCTGCCGCCAGCACAGAGTCAGTCAGATTCGACCAGCGTCAAGACTTCACAGGTTCGCTTTCGACAACGCTACCACATGCGTGTGCTATATTTGGCGGCGTCATCATCGGCGGTGGCTCAGCAGCAGCTGGACGTCCTCGCCGTCCCTCTCGCTCCAGACGGGTCCTGATTCAGGCATCAGCAATCGACCGGTGGGGCAGACACTGCCGCCGCCTGGGCTGCACGACACTTCCGTCGCCTGCGACGATTGATGCTGCCGACGACGAGACCCCGCTAGCCTGGAGGCATCCAAAAGTGCCCCCTTGCCCAGTCCGTACCCCGCCGCCTGGGCACTGGCTGCTCTCAGGCAGTGCCCCCTGTCGGTAAAGGGTCTCGGGTGCCGTTTAGGGGTCTTCGGGCATGAGCCACTGCGTTTTAGCTGGTGGCGTTCCAGGGCGTTGAGACTGGGACCAAAGGGAGCCGTGCCGAAGCCAGAACCGCCTGTAAGTACCTTACGAAGCACCACCACTGCTCCACCTCTCCAATCAAAGTGACCTTCTCCCGCCCGTCTGGCTGTCTGGCCGTCCCTTAAACTTCCAGACACCACACCCCTAATAATACATCGGCCGCTCCGACGTTGGCAGTCGTCACTCACCCTCCTCTTTCTTTCTCCCTCTTCGTTTTCCAGCCGTCTTCTGCGTCCGCAGCACCTCTTCAATCGATATATTGCACTCAGCTCGACGACGCCATGAAGAAGTTTGGCTTCGGCAAGAAGGGCGGCAGCGGTGACGATGGCGACGACTCCAACCGCTCTGCCCTCTTCGGCCGCAAGAAAGCATCTCCAGCGCCACAGTCCGACAACCCCTATGCCCAGCAAGGCCCCGCGAGCGATCCATACGCCGATACCGCTAAGTACGCCAATATAACCCCCTACCAGCAGGCCCGCCAAGGCATCGGCGGTGGCCCGCGACCCGGCGGCGCTCCGGCTGGGCCCCCCTCGCATAGCGAGGCGCCTCGCGACCCAGACAACTACGGTTCTGCGCCGCAGCCGTCGGGCTATGGTGCCAACCGCTACGGCTCAGGCGGAGGCTATGGCTCAGATCGCTACGGAGGCAGCAGCAACGCCACTCCCACGGCCGGTGCTAGAGGCCCCGGTGGCTACGGTGGCTTCGGGCGGGCAAACGACAACGCGCCCGACGAGAACCGCGATGCCCTCTTTTCTGGTGCTCAGGAACGCCTCTCAAACAGAGCAGAGCAACCTCCAGCAGCCGCTACAACTGCAGCCTCGGGCGCGTATGGGCAATCGGGGACCGCTGGGGGTTCGTATGGCGGCTACGGCGAGCAGCGGGAGCTGACGGCAGAGGAGCAAGAGGAGGCTGAGTATCAAGCCATCTTGTCGGAGAAACGACAGGTTCAGCAAGAGAGCGCCGCGTCGGTCTCACGCTCGGTACAGATGGCCAGGCAAGCCAACGAGGTCGGACAGGCGACACTTGCCCGGCTCGGCGCCCAAGGCGAGCGACTCCACAACACGGAGAAGAACCTCGATCTGGCCGCGAATCAAAACAAGATTGCCCAGGACAGGGCGGCGGAGCTGAAGACACTCAACCGAAGCATGTTTGCTGTGCACGTCGGCAACCCTTTCACCTCCAAACAGCGCCAGCAAAAGGCTGACGATGAGGTCATGAACCGCCATCGCTCGGAGCGAGATCAGCGAGAGGCGACGCGTCGCGACGGCTACACCGCTAACCAACGCATGGAATCCACGTTCCGCGACATCAACTCCGCAGGTCGTCCTCGGCAGCAGCCTCGCAAGAAGGACTATGGCAAGTTCAACCTGGACGATGAGGAAGGTGCCGACGAACTCGAAGACCAAATCGACGACGGCATCACTGAGCTCGAGGGCCAGGTGTCGATGATGAACATGGTGGGCCGGGCCATTGGCAAGGAGGTGGACTCACAGAACAAGCAGATTGACAGGATCATGACCAAGGTATGTTTCCGCCCGTGCGCTCTCGAAGTCTCGCTTCTTACTGACCTCCGGCGACAGAGCGATGCGGTGGACGACGCCACACGCATGAACAGGGAGCGGTTGGCCCGTATCCGATAAATTATTGAAACCAGCGCAGGCGCGGGAATTTGGGTGGCGCTTGAATATCCGGCATTATTGCATTGCGAGCAGCACAGACTCGCTTCCATGAAAGGCGTTGGTGACGGTGGCACTCGTTGTTTGGCAGGCAGCTCGACGAGGCTTTGAAGAGAAGGACTTGGCGTCAATCCGCTGCCTTACATGCTCCATGCCACCTACGCATAGCCTAACCAACTGTAATGAGGAATCAATTGTGAAGAAGTGGCGGGGACGCCGCTCAAGGCACGGTTTATGCTGGAGCGGGTCGTGCTCTTGGAAGGCAAAACGTCACGTCTCGGACGTCGACTCTCTTCACTGAAGCTCTCCGATCAGACTAGCGAGTGTCTTTCTTGTAGGCGACTTCGTACAGAAATGCACACTCGACAACAAAGAATCGCTTTGAGTGCCGAGTGGTTGTGATGTCGACATGGTGAGGCTGTCTGCACGACACATTGTCAGGCAGATGAGTGGTGACATCAAGCAGGGTACAAGACTATGGCAATCTCCCTAGCATTTGCGCCAGCGCTTCCGCTCGCAAATGGCGAAAGTGCGACTCGGATACCTGTACGTCGGTGCTGATGTCGTCTCTGGCACGCCTTGGGGGGNGGCAGGCTTTCAAGTGGTGACCAAAGGTACTCGTACACACACGGCGCGTGGCGGGTCCACCAAGTACCTCCAATTCAACTAACACTTTTGCTGGTGACCCAGAATAATTTTCATGCGCCATCCACCAAGCCAACTCAACTACGGCAGTCTCTCACGAAGCACGGCTCTCTCAACACATCAGCAGCGAGAAACATGGCCTCGGGCAGCGCAGAGCAGCCTGCCAAGAGGCGTAAAAAGCAGCAGCCGTCCAATGTGATCACAATCGGAGGCAAGGCCTTCTCCCTCGACAGTTACCTGGACCCAACCCCCAAGGCCTCCAAGACACCGCTGCCAGCGACTCCATCAGACTCGACCGCGCCATCGCAGGAACCATCAGTAGCCCCCGACAATGTCGCAACCGCAGAGACGAAGCGTGGCAAGCCACGTCTGGCCAGGCAAGACAAGAAGGAAAAGCCGCGCGCCAACAGCCACGAGGACCCGCAGCTGCTCAAAACGAGGAAGGACCTCCCCATCTGGCAGCATCGCTCCGAGATCCAGGCCGCGCTTCGATCGCGCGACAGCCACATCCTCGTCCTGGTGGGTGAGACAGGCTCCGGAAAGAGTACGCAGGTGCCGCAGTTCCTCTACCAGGAGTCCTGGTGCCAGCGCCGAAAAGTCAAACTGCAGGGTTCCCAGGACGAAGTTGGCGTCGGCGGAACCATAGCCATCACGCAGCCCAGGCGGGTCGCGGCGACCACCTTGGCCCAACGAGTATCTCGCGAAGCTGGAACGCCTCTAGGGAAGGGGAAGCCGGATGGCCTTGTCGGTTACTCGGTACGGTTCGACCACCAGGTCCCGCGAGGGACAAAGATCAAGTTCCTCACCGAGGGTACACTACTTCAAGAGCTCCTACGGGATCCGCATTTACGGCAATACAGCGCCGTGATCGTCGACGAGATCCACGAAAGGAGCCTGGATGTTGATCTGCTCGTTGGATTCCTGAAGCAGATCTTGATGGGAGACTTGAAAGGCCGAGGCGGTATTCCCCTCAAGGTCATCATCATGAGCGCTACTGCAGATGTCGATGGCATCCGGCAATTCTTCAGTGACATTCCGGTCAAGGACGAAAGTTCAGAGCGCGTTCAGGTGCTTCGAATAAAAGGCCGCCAGTTCCCTGTCGAGGTAGTTCATGAGCCGCGGCCAGTCCCCGACATTCAAGACGCCCTCTTGAAACGCATCTTCAAAATCCACCTCGAGGAGCCTCTTCCTGGAGACATCCTTGCATTTCTCACTGGCCAAGAGGAGATTGAGTCGGCCCAAAAGCTCATCGAGGAATACGCCTCGACTCTCGCCTCGAATGTTCCCAAAATCAAGGTCTGCCCTCTCTATGGACAGCTCACAATGGAAGGGCAACGCGACGCCTTCCTGCCCGTCAAAGCGTCGTTCACGCGCAAAATCGTCCTGGCCACAAACATTGCCGAGACGTCTGTCACGGTTCCTGGCGTTCGGTACGTGGTGGACTGTGGCAAGGCCAAGGTAAAGAAGTACCGTCCGCGCCTCGGGATGGAGTCGCTCCTCGCCAAGGTCATATCGAAGTCGTCGGCGCTACAGCGAACCGGTCGCGCGGGTCGTGAAGGCCCTGGCAAATGCTTTCGGCTGTACACTGAGAGCACTTTCGAGACCTTCCAGGATGCGGATCTTCCCGAGATATTGCGCAATGATGTCCTCGGCGCCGTGCTGACGATGAAGGCGCGAGGCATCCACGATGTGTTGGCATTCCCTCTCATGGACACACCCGGGACTGAATCTATTGAAAAGGCTCTGCTTCATCTGCACTACTTGGGGGCCCTCGCCGACGACGGGGCCATCACGCCGGCGGGAGAGAAGATGGCGAGGTTTCCCCTACCGGCACCGTATGGCGCGGTCTTGCTGGCGGCCGCAAAGCCCGAGTTTGACTGCGTGATCGAGGCCATAGACATTGTATCCTGCATCACTGCCGGCGACGACATCTTCTTGCAACTACAATCAGAGGAGGCCCAGGAACAGGCGGGGACTCTGCGCAAAGAAATACAAAGGCGCGAGGGTGACATCATTACATACCTGACAACCATGCAGCGCTACACGGGAGAGAACGCCGACAGGACCGACTGGTGCAAGCAGAGGAAGATCAACCTGCGCAACATAAGACAGGCGCTCAACATTCGCCGGCAGCTCCGGGGCATGTGCCTCAAGGAGAAGCTGCTGGCGGAAGCGCCGCCGCCAGACCCGCAACCGTTCACGCCAATAGACCCCGAGAGGGCGGACATGATCCTCAAGTGCTTCATGAGGGGCTTCGCGATGAAGACGGCGATGCTGGCGCCAGACGGCAGCTACGTGACGATCCAGGGCAAGCATGTGGTGGCCATCCACCCGGCAAGCGTCTTGCACGGCCAGAAGAAGGAGGCCATCATGTTTCTAGAGCACGTGTTCACGAACAAGAACTACGCCAAGAAGGTCAGCGCGATCCGGGCCAACTGGATCGTCGAAGCGATGGAGTCTAGATACTAGAAGGCGTTCTAATGTACAAGGCAATACTACTACAGTTACAATCCCACCCAATCCTGAAGCTGCAGGCCCCTCAATTGGAGCCCCCCTCCCCCCGATGCTTTTGTATGGCCTGCATCAGCTCATACAACTGCTGGATTTGCTCCTCTGCGCCGGTGCAGCACGTCAGTGTGATGATTCCTTGTGATTAGAGGTAATGGAAGGATGATGAAGAAGCCGGAAATAGCTCACCGCTCATCTTCTCGAGCTTTCCCTGCTCAATCTTTTCGCCAGCCCAAGCGTCGCCCTCGATCTTCTGGGCGTACAGCTGCCACTCGGTCAAGAAGCCAATCTAGTAGCCGCGGGCACCACGGTCGTCAGCCACCGCCGCTACCACCGCTCAGGAAGCAGACAAAGGCCCCGTAGCCGTTGGCCGATACGCGGGGATCAGACTCACGAGATGCGCCGGGTTGTCAATGTTGCGGTGGGCGCGGAACTCGGCCTTGATGTACTCGTCGCCCAGAACGCGCATGTCGGCTGGCAGGTGCTTGCGGTGCGCGCGCAGCAGCCGCCGGTAGAGCGGTATGGGCGGCAGCAGGGCCGTCGGCTTGGGCCGGAGCCCGCCCTGCGCCGCGGCGGACGCCAGTCGTGAGAGCGATTGGCGCATCGTGAGAGGGACCGTGGATGATGTTGGTGGTTTGAACGTCGGTCGGTTAGGCTGCTTGCTGCCCCCCGGCCGGCGGGTCGAGCTGCCGAAAATTCGGCCCCACCGACAGAAACAACACACCGAGACAGGCTTCTCACTCTTCACTCACATGCGCAAGCTTCGAGATATAAAACGCGAAACCTCTCAACTCACCTGCCACCGCTTTGCGTTCGCCCTGTCGCCGCGAGAAAAACTACCCACGCGCCGCAGCAATGGCCTTTTCCTTTGGCTTCTCGGGCGACGACATAGACGCCGCAGCGCAGCCTGTACCTGCGCCTGCGCCTCTCATCACCAAACCCTCAACCACCGCCAACAGCGCGTTCCCCGTCGCAGGCAAACCGCAGCTGCCGCCCACGCACCACCCCGTCGCGGACCTGCTCGCTCGGCTGCCCTCCAAGATTGCCTACGACTTCGTCGACCTGACGCTCGACGATGGCTCTCCTCTGCGCATCCCGCGCCGCGAGCTCTGGGACGTCCGCGTCCAGCTCATGGCCGAGGACGACGACGACGATGGCCGCGCGGCCGAGGGCCTGGGCGAGCACGACGTCAAGACGGGCGTCTACGAGGGCGGCTTCAAGAGCTGGGAGAGCAGCGTCGACCTCGTCAAGGTGCTGGCGTCGCAGAGCCATCCTTCCACATTGCAAGGCCGGCCCGTCCGCTCCATCGAGGTAAGCACCGGCGTGCTCCCGCTCATCCAAGAGGAGAAGCACTCTGCTAACATTGGGCGCACGCACTTCAGCTCGGCTGCGGTACGGCATTGCCCTCGCTGGCCCTCTTCCAATTGTTCTTGGCCCTAGATGCCGCCCCTTCGCCGCAGCCCTTCACCTTCATCCTGGCCGACTACAATCCCTCCGTCCTCCAGCTCGTCACCTTGCCCAACTTCCTCCTCGCCTGGGCCCTCCACCACCGGCGCCAACAGCGCCCCGCCCTCCAGGGCGCCTTCTCCATTGACGGCGAACTCGAAATCACCCCAGACCTGCTCCAAGCCTTCGAGAAGAACTTGCAAGAGCGCAACGTGACCCTGACATTCCTCTCCGGCGGCTGGTCCCAAGACTTTGTCGATTTGCTCTACAGCCTTTCCGGAAGTTCCGTCTACGGCCAGTCTCACGCGCCCGGCGTCATTCTGCTTCTCGGGGCGGAAACTATCTACTCCCCCTTTGCCCTCGAGGCTTTCAACGAGACCATGCTCGCAATCCTGCGCCGTGAACAGGCTGTTCCCGCAGTCCACGCGACCGCTTTCGTGGCTGCCAAGAGGCTCTATTTCGGCGTCGGCGGATCTCTCGACGACTTTGTCGACAAGGCCCGCGCAAGGGGGGCTACCGTCACTAAGCTTCGAGAAGAGGCTGGCGGGGTTGCTCGCGGTGTCGTACGCTGCGATCTTCCTACAGCTGCGTCCGACGACCACATGGTTGATGGCTAGCGCGGCGCATCATAGAAGCAAGTTGAACAGACATTATGCCAGAAGGCGCACCATTTTCTGCACACCAAGACTGGAGAATCCATCACGACGCTTGTCCATGGGGTACTGCTATTACTACCGACCCCGAGGCAGCTTTGGGTATATCATGTTTACTAAAGCAGCCGAAACGCCAGAGGCATACCCGCCTGAGTCCTGTAACGCCAACCCACATGCCATCATGATGCGACGCAAAGTCGGTCACCCCTCCGCCTACTTGCTCTTCTTCTGGAACTTCTCCGTGCACACCGGACAGTACCACGTCCCGTTAGGCTCGCTCTTAAGGCCAACGCACGACCAATGAAACCACTCATAGGGGCAATTGTCGTTGTCGCAGGCCACCATATCCCCATAGCTCACGTTATGGCAAAGGCAGTAGGTCTTCTCGTCCCCGCCTTCCTCATCCTCGTCTTCGGCGTCTCCTACAGCCTCGTCGCCGTCGGCGTCTTTGCCGTCGGCCGCCGGCGTGCCCGCAGAACGGCCATCGGCACCCTCTTCCTCTTCTCCGGCGCTCATGCTCTCCGCTTCCGACAGGTCACTATCCGCCGTCGAAGCAGGTGAGTTTCGCGCCGACGCCTTCTTCACTCGGGACAGCGACGACTTGTTGGGGGCCTTTTTACGTGCTGTGGCAGTCGGGGTGCCTCGCCGGCTTCCGGCAGCTGAGCCCGCCTTGACCGAGCCTGCACGCGGACCAGCACTACCCGCCCTAACCGCAGCCCCGGCACCAGCACCCGGGCCCGCCTTGGAGATGCCGGGTCCCAACGATGAGTGTCTCGCAAGTCCGCTCGATGCTGCCGGCGCGTTTCCGGGCCCTGTGCTGGATCGAGGGCCGCGCTTGGTGGCAGGGCCGGCCGAGCTCTCGCGTTGTCGGTTGAGGATGATGCTCGCAGCCGGTGTGGCGGGGGCTGAAGCTGGGTGCTGGTTGAGCGTCTGCTGGGCTTGTGCCTGCCGGATGCTGGGGTGCGTGGGCAGGCGCGTGGTTGCTGGGTTCGAGGAGGCATGCGCTGGGTTCAGGGGCGACGGGATAGGACCAGCGGCGGCCATGTGCGCGGACGGGTTGATGGGCCGGATCGACGGGGCGGTGTGGTTGGCGGCGCTGGGCCGGAGGAGCGAAGGCACCTCGTCAGGGTCGGTGAAGCCAGGCTCTGCGCGGTCGTAGAGCAGCTTTATCTGAACGTCGAGGCTGCGCAGATGTTTGTCCATGATGGCTTGTAGCCTCTGTGTGAGGGCGATCTTGTCCTGCGAGATCTTGTCGGCGCGAGCGTAGGCATCGCGGATCTGAGCACGCAGCAATTCCTCCTTAGGGTTCGCCTCGTGGCTCCCATTCGACTTGATCCATTTTTGTATCTTGCCGTCGCGGTCCTCGATGGTTCGGATGCACTCGTTGTACTGTCTGTCCTTGTCGGCGATTTCGTCCTGCATAAACCGGATCTCCTCGGGCAGATTCTGGACGCGGTTGATCCAGTCGTCAAGGATCAAGCCCGGGTCGAGGGGCTCGGCTTGAGGCATCCTCTTGACGAAGTCGATGGACAAGTCGTCTCTAGGCATGATGGTCAATCTTGGGACGGACCCCAGCGAAAGCGTCTAAAATCATGTGCAGGAAAAAAAAAAGGTGTCTATGGCGCCTGTGCGACAACGCGTGAAAAAGGCATAAAAGAGCAGGCTTGAGTGATTGTCGCGGCTGCGGGGAAGAGAATGTAGAAAAGTAAATAAAGAATCAGACAACGCCACGGGAAAATCGCGAGGCGGCGCAAGAATGGGGGCGGCGGATCGGCTGCCGATGGAGGCAGTATTGATGCAGGCTTCAGGGAACCCAGTGGAAGGAAGAATCCTCGGGGGCGTGTAGGTAAGACAACTGCAGCCAGCCAGCGCTGCTAGCGAAGGCTAGAAGCCCGTGCCGATGCACCCACCAGTGGGGGACGGGCGAAGGCGGTGGACGGGCCGCTGGAAGTGATGGGACACGCGCAGCGCCAAAGTCGCTGATTCGGTGCTGGCTGCGGTTCCCCCAGTGCCCAGGTGGGTGCTTTCAGTGAGAGGTCCAGCAGACCGTGAGCCTGCCTGCCTGCCCAACCTGGAGGAAGTGACCGACTGACTCTGCTCCACTGGGACAAGCCTCGGCCAGGCCACCCGAGGCTCCCCCGCGCCAAAGGTGCAACACGCCGTCTGCCTTGGAAGGGCAAGCGTATCCGTCCTGCGCGAGGCGTCGGTTGGACGGGGCGGTATCGGATCCGATGCGGAAACAGACGAAGCGCAAGCCGCGCCGGAGATGTTGTCTGGCAGATGTAAAGGACGCACGCCCTTCTCGCTCGAGAAGATGCAGGAGACGGGGAAATGGGTGCCTCCGACCTCGCAGCCGCTGGGCTGGATAACCGGTTGCCCGGCAGCTCGCGACGAAATGGGTGTGCGCGGCTCTCACCTCGAAGCAAAATGGTATGTGAGGGCGTCGCTCCCCGCGTGTCAGTCAATCTGATGCGTGGAGCGCAGCCTCTAAAAGAGTGAGGGTTGGATGGCGATGGGATGAAAAGATGGTGGAGGCGAACGTCGGGACGTTGCTGGCGAGGCTGCGGATGGACGATGCGCACGAGTATGCACGTCGTTGGAGAGACGCCCGTGATGCGAAACCCAGTGGCGATGACAGGCCAACTTTTTCTGCCCTTGGCCGGCCAGCGGTTGGATCCAGCCTTGCCTTGGCCAAGTCGGGAAGGCAGCCTCGCTGCCCCGCGGTGCCGGTTGGCTGTTTGCTCGTCCTTGTGCTGCTTGGGCCGGTGGGAGACTTGCTGAGAAACATATAGTATCAAGTGCTACTAGCCAAAACCCGTACTCCACAGCCGGCCATCAAGTACCTGTTCATAAGTCCCTTTCAGCTCCAGTGTTCCTTTCATTTGTCTTGGGGACGGCTGCCATCTCCTGGCCAGCAGGTACCGCCTGGTACGCAGGCAGTACCCACACACAATGAGTGCCGTTGCCCGAGTCTGGGCCCACAGGAAATGGCCACAAGTTCCCGTCTGCCGCCCCCCGAGCGAACGGTGCTGCCCCTCCCGCAGTGAAGAGACACCAGAGGGCACAAAGAGTACAGAGCAGTACATACAGGGCACTTCGTGCCTTGTGCGCTATGCTCGAAACCGGACTAGCGCCATCTTTGCGACTCCCAGGCGTGACATGCCCTGCTCTCTCACCTTCGCCATCATCTCAACTCACAACTCGCAACTCATATTTGTACCTGCACGATCAACCCCTCTCACCTTGCGCCAACGACTCTGGCATTCCACAGACTGCCGCTTTCCCTCCCCAGTTCTTCGCGCAACATATTATATACTGGCCAGGCACCGTCCAGAGTCGGCAAAGTCCCAGCCACCCGTCGCATCCGCCGAATCGCCCGACTCTTCTCATTTCATACGTCGGATCCGGCTTCATTGCGCTCAAGCTTCACATTCACTCCGTCACGCCCCGGCGCGGATAGTCGGCTCACGCCTCTCTCACCGACTACCCTTCTCTCCCCCCTCATACAGAGGCCCGTCCAGGCCTCTCTTCGGGCCCCGTGGCCATGGACATGGACGCGTACCGGTTCCGCGTGCCCAAGCCAAATTACCTCCCTCACAAGCTTGACGTGGACCGCAATGACTCTATTGTCGAGCGGTACGATGCGCCGCTTAGTCTGGCGGGCGAGCTGGACAACGCCAAATTCTTTAACAAGTGCAAGCGCATGGCCGAGGAGTCCGGCATCATCCGGCCAAAGGGCTACAACGTCTCATTTCACTGCAACCCCGAGATGGAAAAGCACCACTTCGGCGTTACACACCCTATGAAGCCGTGGCGCCTCACCCTCTCCAAGAGCCTCATCTACTCGTACGGCATGTCGTTCGCAATGGACAACTATGTCTCGCGCGCTGCCACCTACGAAGAGCTCGCCGACTTTCACTCCACCGACTACCTCGACTTCCTCGGCACCGTGCTGCCCGAACCCGTCCCGCGCGACGTGGAGAATCAGAATCCGGACCTCAAGTTCAACCTCGGAGGTAGCGACTGCCCTTTATTCGAGGGTCTGTACGATTATTGCTCCATGTCAGCCGGCAGCGCACTGGATGCGGCCCGCAAGATTTGCGCGAACCAGTCAGATATTGCAATCGCTTGGGGAGGCGGCCTGCATCACGCCAAGAAGGCGGAGGCGTCGGGCTTTTGCTACATCAACGACATTGTCATCGCCATTCTTGAGCTGCTGCGCCACTATCCTCGAGTCCTATACATCGATATCGACGTGCACCACGGCGATGGCGTGGAGGAGGCCTTTTTCTCAACAGACCGTGTCATGACGGTTTCGTTCCATAAATACGACCCAAACAACTTCTTCCCCGGAACTGGGGCCCTCGATGACAACGGCCCGAAGAACGAGCAGAACCCGGGAGCTCACCACGCGGTCAACGTCCCGCTCAACGATGGCATCACCGACGAGCAGTACGACATGCTCTTCAACACCATCATCAGCCGCATAGTGGAGAAGTTTCGACCCAGTGCAATTGCTCTCCAGTGTGGTGCCGACTCCCTGGCCGGCGACCGTCTCGGGCGCTTCAACCTCCAAGTCCAGGGCCACGGCGCGTGTGTAGAGTTTTGCAAGCGCATGAACCTGCCCCTCATCCTCTTCGGCGGCGGCGGCTACACGCCTAGAAACGTTGCCCGCGCCTGGACGTACGAGACTAGTATCGCCATCGGCTGCCAGGACAAGATCAGCGACGTGCTGCCCCAGCACACGCCGTGGCGCGACCAGTTCCGGCAGGAAACCCTCTTTCCCACGCTTGAGCAGATCCTCGGCGAGCCCCGGCAGAACAAGAACCCGCCCAAGCGGCTGCAGGACATCGTGAACCACGTCAGCGAGCAGCTGCGCTTCGTCCAGGCCGCCCCCAGCGTCCAGATGCAGGCCATACCACCGGATCTCGGGGCGATCAGGCAGGATGTGGAGGAGAGGATCAAGGAAGAGGCAGCCGAAAGGCACGATGAGCTGCGGCGGGTCAAGGAGGCCGGGGTCGCCACCCCTATGGAGTTTTAAAGGCTCTCGGCTAGCGGGCAAGAGGAAGAAAGCGGGCGACGGCCTTGAGGAAGGTGATGTGCTTGCCAAGGTACATGTCCTCGGGCAAGAGCGTACGGTAGATACCCACGGTTGTTGTATAGTCGCTTTTGGATAGAAACTCAATAATACGCATTGCGACCAGCGGTCAACTTGCTCAGGCCAGAGGATGCCGGTGAGGACAGACATCTGCGCACCTTCAGGTCGTCTTGCAAGGAAACCTCAGCGCATTCAGCGCAGATGGAAACGCCTCTTGTTCAACACCGCGGTTGGCTGTGAATCAAAGAAATGCGCCACTTTGAACCAAAAAAAAATATCACAAGACTAAACTGCGGCCGAGAAGTTATCCAAAATAATAATGATAAAAGACAAAAATGACGCCGCGGGGCATCTGCACCGACAAGGCACGAATCCCCAGAACGAGTCAGGTCAGCGCCGACGAGGGACGGGACCGGGTTGTAATAGCGTTGCCAGTCCGCGCCGTCTCCTGGCCGAAGAGTTCCCTCGTGGCCCCTTGTCCCCCAACTGCAGTATCAAAATAACACCCCATGGGGGTCTTGGCATCTCAACCTCCGCACAGGCACTCTCGATACCATGGCCCGCAGCCTCGGATACTCTGCCGAGAAGAATATGCACATGAAGATCCAGAGCGACACCAGTCAAGATTTACTGTCCCTTCCCCTTGCTCTACGAAAACCTAACAACGACCGAGTCGCCTTTCTGCGCAGAGACCTAGAAGTGTGGTTAGAACGCAATGGCTCTTGTGTGCAGTTCCCGAATGTGCATTGAGGGCTCCACTTACCGTGCAGCCTTTCGGGTTGCCATTGGAGAAGTTGCCGCGGGTGACCGAGCACTGCTTGCTGCCATTGACCGTTACCGTCACCGTATAGGGAAGCACGGCGCTGCTGGTAGGCCAATTTGGCTGGAGGCCGATCCACGTGACGCCACTCTCATCCTGAGAAACACCCAGGACAAGGGGAGCCCAGTTGCCCACATTGGGCCGCGTGGCGCTCCCCCAGATGCAAGCCTCTTCCTTATCAAGACCCATTGGGTTGATATAGTACTGCGCCGAAGTCTTCTTGCCCTGCCAAACGTAGGTCTCGGACTGCATAGGGTTCGTGACCTCTACCGTGGATCCAGGCTGAGCGACGAAAGGGATAACCATATTCTCGGTTCCGCTGTAGTCGGTACGGCACGTGGAGACGACCTCGGAGAGGTCGTTCTTGATGGTGATGCCCCCGGCGCCCTTCTGACAGAGAGTCTTGACGCTCGGCCGACTCAGCTCAAGGAACCCGCTCTTGTTGCACCAAAGGCCGCCAACTGACTGTCCAGTGGCTCCTTGGGTCTTGGGCCACTGAGATTTCTCCCAGCCGGGAGGGCAGGCATACGAGCAATAGGTTTCCGGTTTGCAAGTGTCGCCGGCAACAAGAGTCTCGATGAAGCTAATAGCCGTGTCTTCGATTGGGTTGTGGCCTGGGCAATGTTGAAGCCCTGACCAGAGACCGGTTTTAAGCCAGTCGAGACCGACTGCGCCGTAGTCGGAAGGAAAATGGGAGCACTTGATTGTTCCACTTGGGAATTCCGCCGTGAGACCGGTTCCTCCATTGCCGGAACTGCTCGACTTGGCGGGCTTAGCCTGCGACGGGGCTGGAGGAGGCGGCTCCTTCTTGGGAGGGGGCGGCGATGGCGAAGGCTTCTCGATGAACTTGGCAGGTGCCTTGGACGTGGTCGTGGGCTCGGGCTTGGGCTCGGACGTGGTCTTCGGCGGCGGCGGCGGCGGCGGCAGAGTGGGCGTCGTCTCGCCAACAACAACGCACTCTCCACGCTCAATACACTGCTCAGCCTTGGACGCTTCATAGGGCTCTCCCGCCATCTCGTAGGCGGTCGCGGCAGCGACGACGACGACCTCCACTTGCTCGATGCGCTTGTCGACAACCTTGGTTCCGACGTGCTTTCGGGCGTGGCGGTGGAGGTGGTGGTGCGAGTTCGCCGTGGCGCTCGCCGCCAGCGAGGCCGCGAGGGCTAAGCCGAGGACGTTCTTCATTGCGATCGATGTCTGCTGCGATGATCAGGATCAGCAGGCCGGCTGGGACAAAAACTCTGCGACAAGGTGGTTTAGGGGTTCCGAAAATCGACTGTATGAATGGCAGGGATCGGGACAAGCCCAGTTGGACGGGGTATGCGCCGAAGGGGAAGGGCTTGTCCCAATCACGTTGCGGATTCGGGTCGTCGAGCCAAGTGAGTCGAGCCGGGAGAGAACCTACGTGCGTGTTGCTGAACCGTAGTCAATATGATACAATAGTTATATTGCCGTTGGTGTTGTTGTTGTTGTTATTACTGCTGTTGCGCAGCCGAAAGGCGAACGAGCGTGATGGAGCGATGGACCGGGAACAAAGGAGTGTAGTAGAGAGTCAAGACCCTCTGTTGGAAAAGGACACACCGCTGGGGGGGAGGAGAGAAACGAGGGTCGCGGGCTCAGCGAGGCAAAAGGGAAAGGGAGGGAGGAGTCAGAGGAGGAGATAAGATGGTGGTGAGAGCCCACAAGCTGCCCTGGGGGGGCACCCGCGAGGCCTAGTGGATTCGCAGTGACAAGGGGGGGAGGGAGGCAGACGCCGGGCTGGTGCCGCTGCTGCGCCCACGGGCGGCCGTGGGAAATTACCCCGTCGTCAGCCTTTTTTTGGGCGTCGTGATTGTTGTCACCTGAACCTCCGACACGCTACGAGCGCCTGGGCTACGTGCCAACGGCGGCTGGTGTACCTGACTGGCATGGGAGGCGACGGGCGCAGGCGCGCGTACCGACCGGCCCCGTGTTATGTACCGACCCTGCTCTACGCTGAGCATGCCTTGCCTTGCCTTGCCTTGCCTTGCCTTTCCAAGGTTCCAAGGCTGCCTTCCCTCATACTGCAACGAGTGCGCCGCGGCGGCGAGCGAGGCCGATCGACATTTCGCTTTTGGGCCGGGTACTGGCGACGGCGACGCTGACGACTTGCAAAGCACCACCTCCCCCACTCTGGCGATGGAATATCTGTACGAGTACGGAGTATGTGCGGGTTGGTCTCGCGACGATGCGTGTCGTGCTGCGACTGGCCTGCCTTCTCTGCGGCGCAGACCAACCCAACGGGCTCGAAATATCGCTGCTTTGCGGTTGCTGCTGCTGCCACCGTCGCAGCCCACTTGTTCGCACGTCCACGCCGAGCCTATCGCGCCAAGCAATTCCTCACAGCGGCTGCGAGGCCGGCGGCGCCCGCAGGGACCACCATCGCGGGCTTGGTATCATGGCTCCCCCGTCGCGGGAGTGGACGAGAAGAGGCGAGGTGCGCATCTCCTTTCAGCTCGTTGCCGCAAGCGAGCCGCAGCGGAGCCAAGTGCCGACACCTGGAGCAAAGAGAGAGAACAAAGATCATTCACCAACGGCGCAGGCAGACAGGCAGGCAAATTACCCGCCCCCTCGTACGAGTGCCGGTCAGGTGGTGATGTCGACTCAGGCCAGGCAAGGGAAGAAGAGCGCGAGGCGAGCCGACAAACCGATGGGTCATCATCTAAAAGCCCGGCCAACGGGCGCGCGCCACTCCAGGGGCAGCGTTGGGCGGGAAAGGGGGGCGGGGGCCGTCGGCTGCAGGGCGTTCCTTGCGCGGTTCCTGACGCTAGTCCAATTTCGGACGCCTGCCCCGCAACAGGGAATGAACACGTCGCTTGGTGTGGCCGTCTCCCCCAGATTCCCCCTTGGCAAAGTGCTGTTACCAGGTTAGTGCTGCAACCTGTGCGCCTGAGCACTTCGTATTACACGCGGAGGAGGAAAAACGTCCGGACTTGGGGACTGACGGTGGTCCGTCGCAGTAAGACAGCCGTCCGCTGCTCGTCCAGCCCCCAGCTTGTGGCGGCTGCGAAGTGTACGTACGTATTGTACAGTACTGTAATTACCTCCAATTGCAGACCGGCAGGTCTCGGCATCCATGGGTCAATTTGCGCCGCCTGTTCCCGCCAAGTTGACGGCCGGGCGGCCGAGTGGCCCGGAACTGGTACGCAACGGAAGCCCGTGCCTGCGGCGCGTGCCCCGCCGCTCCAGCGATTCTGGCCTCGTCCAGGCCAAGGTTCTGTCCGCCGGGGCACGCACATCTTTGTGTCGCGCCATCAAGTTGCTCCCAGCCGCGCCCGTCGCACGACTTCAATTACAGCGACCTCGCCATCGTCCACAGCTGCCAGCGGCCGAACGTCATGGTTCTTCAGGTCGAGTGCCGGGCCGCTTCCTCGTGGCAGGGCAGCTCGACTCGTGCGCCACCCCAACCCCGTCGCACGGGGCTGCCAAGGAAGAAATCGGCCCCGTACGAACCACAATGTAAGTCAATAAACATCGGCCCAGTGCCAGGCAGGCCACCGGGATACCCCCGGCGGACGTGCGTGGACAACAAGCCTCTCGGGGCCCGCACACGACCCTGGCAAGCACGCTGTATTAACATCTCAGCCTCTTGGCAGCCAATCACGGCCGCCTGGCCTCCCATCCTGAAACACCGAACACGCGCCTCCCGTCCTCCCAAGCCTCCTTCTGGACGACGGTGGAGTGGATGAGTGGGCTGTGTGCGTGGGCTGCCGAGCCTGGCACCAGGGCCATTTCCCGAGAACAATCGTTCGCACAGATAAAAAGTGCTGTGCTGGCCGCACAGATGTTCCACAAAATTCTGGGTCCGCGCCCCACCCCCATGCCGCCACAGCCATTTTTGGTGTGCAGGCATGGGATGACAGCGGCGCGCCAGAATGCATCCCGAAATCTCAATCGAATCGTGTTTTCACAACGCAGCCGCCTCGCCGCGAGGCCAGCAAGGCGCCGGCAGGGCTCAATTCGCTCAAAAAACGCATTTCCATAGTTTCCCTATAATGTCATTAAATTCGGATATATGTTGTTCCGTTCCGGATCCCTCCGCCGGGCCGGCGGCGCCCGTGACTGTGCCCTCACTACTACCGACTGTGTCTGCCGCCCCTAACCTCGTCTGCCCCGGCCGCGGCGCTGGTAGGGAAACGCATTTCCGGGGTTTCCTTACAATGTCGTGACATCGGGGGCATGTTCTTCCGCTCCGAGGTCCGTGGGTCGGGTCCCTTGACCGTGCCGGGCGGGCTCTGGGCGTGACTGCGGTCACAGCTACGTGGCCGGGATAACCTCGTCTTGCGAGGCCGAGGCAGACGCAGCCTGTGATGCCGTTGACGCAGCCGGTGACGCTGTTGAAGCAGTTCGTGATGTTGCAGACCGGCCTCGAGCAGCGGCGCGGCCGCGGCGCGGCGTTGAGAGGCATTGGCCGCGATGTCTTGTAAAGGCTGCGTAGGCACCCGTTGTGGTGTTGACCCCATTGCCGGACTTAATTGTGTGTAGCAGGCTTGCAGGCATATGATTGGCTGACGAAAAGTGGATTGTGGGTCTATCTGTGCGGCCAGCACTATTTATCTGTGCGAACACCACTACTCTTCATTTATTACTGAGTCGATCTGCTACGTAACTTACTCAAACACTCGATTGATGAATGGGGCCGATATGGTACCTATAGTACCCTGACCACGCGGCAGTGCCACAATAGATTGAACGTCGTCTTCCCGCGCCGTGACCCCCGAGACATTGGCCCCCGATCCTTCCACCGCTCCGCTGCAGGCGCCCCTCTCTGCGGCCGAGAGCCGCCCGGCCGGCCCCCTTCTCAGCATCTCTCTTCCGCTCCTCCGTGTCGGCATCGTCCTTCCGACGTCGTCGCAGGTTTGCGCATTCTGCAGTCCGTACAAGACCATACTTTACACCATGGTGTTTCTCCACACCTTCCTAGCGTTGCAGGAGAGATCCTGTCGGCTCGCTCATTTCATGGCCTCGCCATGTCCGTGCGCCGATTCCTTCCAGGAGCATGTTCCGCGCTTGGCGAGGGGGAACTGCCAACAGAGGTTGCCATATCATCTCACGCACGCGCGTCTGGCATTGGCCTTCATGATGGTATCGCTCGACCTGAGACCACTCACCGTTCAACCCCCCCTTTCCGGCTACAAATTTATGCCCCCTGTGCCGACATGCCCGAGTGCCACATCGCAGCGCCCTACCCTACACCTGTCCGATCCATCTCTCGATGACTCTGTGTCTGACAATATCGAGGCATGTGCCCCCGGTGCTCAACATGCAATCATGAAGCCGCGGATCCCACCACAATCTCTCATGTATTTCAGCATCTTGCTACTTACTGCACCCTCGCCGATTAAGTCATGAGGGAGTGGTTCCAGGTTTTGCTCATGACTGGCACGTCCTCCATTTGGCCGGCGTAGCACCCACCCGAAGCAACGCACTTATGTATTGGGCTGCCAAACCTGCATTGTCTTAATGTCGTCCGCACTGCATGCGATGTATACCCGGTGCATATATCTGTGGCCGGGCCAGGGCTGTTCTACAGCTACCCAGGACACACGATGAGCAGATCGACGTCGGTCAGGTTCCCCCTCCTGTCAGTGACACCCACCTGCGGTTTACAAAGGCACCGCAGCTCCCATTCCATTTGTTGTCTCACCACGGCATATGTATCATGGCCGGCACCCGGTACCAAAGGCGGGATGCGGCAAGCCAACTTCCGTACATGGCCGTGTCGATGCTTGGATATCCCAATGCGCCTCCGCGGCCCACTTGCGGTCAGGAGAAGAATGTGATTAGGAGAGGGCTCCCCTCTGCTGCGGACCATGGAGTCTAGCGACACAGCCGTTGACCTGGAAAGCATCGACATCTACGAAACCATCAGGGCTCCAAGGCAGGTAGTATCACCAACCGCTACGTGCAGACGGACAGCAGCTCCAGAGCATGGCCCGGCGGACAAGGGCATGGCTACAGAGTGTCAGCCTTGAGCCGATGGTGTGCCACGAAAGAGGCAGAGCCGGTGCGTTGCGCGAAGCGGTACCTCATAGCCGCCGCGACAGCCAAACGAAGAAGATGCGCCTGAAAACGGATTCGGTCACAAGAGGAAAGATGGTGATGATGGTGGGGGGTGACGATGCTGATTCGTCAGCCGAATAGCGCCTGTAGCCTGCTCAGCTCAGCTCGGGAGAACACGAGCGCCTTTCCTCTTCAGCTCAGCATCATCGTCCAACGGCAGGCTGATGGGCCAATGAGCCACACATCGTCGAGAGTGTGCTTCGCGTGCCGTTGAGACCCCATCAGTGGCATCTGTGCAAGGCCAGATGCGATGCAGGTTGCAAACGCCCGCATTGGGTTTCTATTGGCCGATTGCCCGGCCCGGAAAAGCAACGATGCACTGAACATGTCGCAGCTGATCGCGGGCCATTGGAGAAGTCAGTCTCATGAACAGGACCGGACTGTACGCCACAGACGGTGAGCCGCCTGTGACCGGGGCAAATCGGAAAGGAGCCGAATGGGGGACGCAAAGGCAAGCTTCGGCGGACAGTGACAAGACACAGGTCGTCGTGCGAAAATGGGCTGACTCGAAGACGGGCCGGGGCGGACCCGCGACGCGGCTGTGGTTGGGGATGAGATGACGTCTCGGCGTGGCTCAGATGTGGCACCCTGACTGTCAGCAACACCAGGACGGGACCCAGAACGGGCTGGGGTTGGGGGCCATTTCCCGAAACAAGAGGGACGAACCGTTTGCCTGTGAGACTAGCGGCATCGCATGAAGACGAAGCCATCGGTTGGCCTTGCGGGGACCACCATCGGCGACCAGTTGGAATTGTTCACGAGCCTCAATGGTGAGAGTAGCCCGGCGCGGCCGATACCAGCTGGATTCACAACCAGGTGCCGCGGCTGTCGATTCCAATACGAGGTTTTCGAGCTCTGGACGGGCCCGGCCAGAGTGAGATGAACGGAAAATGCATTCGAGAACGATTGACCAGGTTGCCAATCAGAGGGAGCCGCTCTCCGTACAAACAACAGACTGTTCAACGGCCATTCCTCCGTCGGCTCAGACCACCTCGGACCCGGGAGCGAGGCACTACGTAGATCGGGCGAGACGTCGTCGTAGGAAGCATCGCAGATGTCACCGTCATCGGCAGAGGAGGCGGGATTGGTTCGATAGCGACCGCCGTTTGTCGACGTCGGGGTCGAGCACTCCCGCGCCGATCCCCAAACCGTCCTGCCAGAATCCCAACCCTGGACAATGGCTGACTCGTTTCGTCAGGGAGCGGCGTTCACAAGTGAAGGAGGCTGGACGTTTTAGGTTGCTTGCTGCCAGTAATGGCAATTCGAGGCCCGGACCGCGGAGAAGCAAGCTCCGTCCCAGCGCGGCCGCTGTCAGGGAGGAGCAGGCCGACACAATCGCGATACGACGCGAAGTTGAGCGCAGCGAGAGAGCGAGCGAGCAAGCACGAAAGCAAGCAAGCAAACAAGCCCCATTGACGCAGGCAAGCAAGAAAGCAGGCCCAACCTGAAAGAACAAGAAAGTCGACCCGCAACCCAGGAAGCATCACCAGGCAGTCGTTCAGTCCCACAAGCCACGAGGCCACTGTCGTCGCCTCGGCGCCTCAAGGAATCCGAGCGCGCGAAGTACAGGTACCCAGGCCTGTCTTGGTGACGGCCCCCTGTGGCTGGCTCCTCCAACCTGAACATGGCGCGCGCCCGACGCCAGTGTACGAACGGCAGGCGCGGATCCACTGCGAGGTTGACAGAGCCCACTCGCTGGCCGGTGGGCGAATGTAAACACGAGAGCCGAGCTGGTGAGTTCCATGATGATGGATCCGTAGGTTTCGTTTTTGATGAGGGCAAAGAAAAATAATGGGAGGAGCAAGAGGAGGGAAGATGAGGCGGAAGGCGCAGAATAGAAAGAGGCTCCTGCCACCGTTGGGGTTTTCTCGAGTGGCTTCCTGCCGCTGTGATCCACGGTGCTACTTCTTGCGAAGTACCTCTAGGTAAGGTCGACACAGAACTTCAACGTCACTCACAGGTGGCCCCAAATATCGCCCCGGTGTCCTGTCGGCATCGGGCCGTGAAGTAATATCTGTCCGGGATAGCGCCTTACTACTAGGTAGGCCCTCTATGTCGCGATAGCGTACGCGACTAACCGCCTACTTGCAAGTTGCGAGCACTGTGTTTCTGTTCACGTGTATTATGTAGAGCCCGCCACGACGGGATCGCCACCGTCGCGGCGTCACTCTGTTGCTGGGCATGCTGCAAGACGGCATCCCTTTTGAAAGTAGCGAATGATCCTCTGCCGAGAAATGCAACGCCACATCCCCAGTCTGATCTCCGGGCAATCAAGGACGCGGTGCCGAGGGTCGGTCCCCAGCAAGTCCCGCGGCTGCTTTGTGCGGTTCTGGCTACCTCGGACGGTATAACTTGCTCTACGGCATCCACGGCTACCTCACTGAGGAGCTTCAGCACCGTAGAGACATCCCTACCCAGTAGAACATTGGAGGCGTAGGCGGCAAACTTCGGAGATACCCTGGCAGCCGATGCCATCTTCGTCCTGTCGAGGCCAAACCTGACAGTCTGGAAATCTTTGGCAACAACAAGAGGCTCCGCCACAGGCGAAATGCTCGGGCCCTTGGTTGACGTGGGTGAGGGCCCAGACAATCACCCAGGCTCGCGAGGCTGGCGGCGGCGGCGATCTGTATACGACATGTTCGCGAACAGGTCTCAGCGGTCCGTCCGATACGGAGCGTGCCATGCTGCCGTTTCCTGCTCCTGATGGTGGGCCATTTGAGATCACTGGGCGCTCATGGCCAACGAGTGTGCCGCCCACCCATGCATCCATCCGTCGACATGCTCGCCCGTGCCAGCTGCAAGCAGGTCTCGGACGACTCTCTCCGCTGCTGGACGAACTCGTCATCTCGCCAACTTGATGAACGGAGAGACAAGGCGGCAGATCTGCCATGACGTGCAGATTCGTATCGGTCGTCTCGGTATGGGGCAAGCCAGAGTGGCCGATGACCCCGATTCCTCAGGTTCGCACCTCAAACCTGCAAAGACGGCTGTGCACGCGCCGGGAACCTGTTTCTTGCGCCTCAAGGGCAGCCACAAGACCGTTTATAGTGGGTGCGAAGTTGGCTGAGGCGGAACGGGCTGGCGCAACTGGAGCCTTGGGGGGAGCCTCCACACACACACACCCCCCTCGCCAGGAAGAGGACAGGCTTGGAAAGGGAGGAGTTGTGGTGGCCCACCAACCACCACCACCGCCACTGCCTGAGACGGGCATCAACCTCCATCACGCAGTCGGAGGGCTCTCGAGGTAGCGCTACCTCGACCTTTCCTGGTGCTCTTTTTTGTCTGCCCTGCCCGCGCCACGACTCAGGTCGCTGACGTCGGGGTTGTCGTCCCACCCCGAGTCCTTGGCCTTGGTGTCCGTGAACCTTGGGCGCCTCCACCCGCTGCGCCGCTGGCGGTGCTTCCAGGTTCGGATGAGGAACCTTACGTGGGCCGCGACGCTGGGTCTCGTGTGTGCTCGGCGACTGGCGCGCCTGACGTGACGACGCTCGATGCGGAGCAGCCGTCGTCTTTTGTCTTCACAGTTGTGATGTCAGGTGCCCGTAATTACAACGCGTACTTGCCTGTGTGCTTTCCTACCTAGTACCTAGGTAGGTTGGAGGTAGGCGCGCTGGCGAGCAATCGCGGGCAAACTTTGGCTGGATGCCCTGCCCGCCCTGCACTGCGGCTCCGTCGTGTCGGGCCAAGTACCTGTACTTTCTGTCCATACCCGTGCTCGGTTTGCTCGACGGCCGTCCCAGCCCCAGCCCAAGCCCCAGCCCCAGCCCCAGCCGCAAAGGCGCTGGGGCCGGTCGCCGCCCACCCAATGGAACTTACCCGCCGCCACTGCGGCCACGGCATTGGGCCCAGTCTGGCGGCGGCGGCTGCCTCCAGCGACGGCAGGGCCCAGTGGATGCAGGCCCAGGCAGGCAAGGTACGAGAAGGTACCTACCGCACGCTACAAGGTTGCCTCACTGAGTTGTGCGAGTACCTCTTGCACAGCACTGCGTGCCCTGAACCCTGGGATTGGATCCATGCCCGTCTCCCCAGAGGTGAGGAGGTACTGCATCGCTCGTCATCCCTGCCCCGATGGTCGGGTGAGGTGCCTCGCTCACCCACTGCGCAGCCGAGTCTCGAGGTACAGGTACGGGTACCTCATCCCACTGCAGCACGGCAGACCCAACCCTGCTCAGCCAGCCAGCCCGCCAGCCCAGCGCCTCCCATGCCCACCTCTCAGGCAGGTTCGTTCGGTCCTCCAGTGCTGCGTCACAATCATCCCTCCTCGTCGCTCTCTCTCACTCTCACTCTCCGTTTCCCTCTCCCCTTCTCATCATCCCCCTTCATCCATCGCCTCTCATCGTGTGCACCGCCGTATCCATCGCGACACTGCCTCGTGCCAATCAGCCGCCCAATTTGGCTTTGAACACAGTCCGGGCACGCCCCAATTAATGTCAGCGGCCGTCGCGCCGGCCGACTCTTGCGCCACACCTTCGCGCGCTCGCCTCGACGCATTTGCCCCCCCAGCTTGCGCGCCCGCTGCCGAAAAAAAAAACACATACACTCCAGACCGGCCTCGACCAGATAGCGGCGACAGCTCTCGCCACTCTCTCCAGCCACACCAACAACACCAGTTCGTCTGGCCATGTGCCCTTGACCGAGCTCTCTTCCAACTGCGACGGCAACTGTTGTTGACGAGCGCGCCTCTAATTTGAAATCGCATTGCCGTCTTATCCTTCGCCTATGGCATCTAACGGTACCGGTGTCCTTGCAGCCGAAGCACGCCCTTCCTCTCGCTCGACACCGTCTCCCCCTCCGCCCGATTCTGCGGCAGTCGCAGACTCCGTCGCGGACCCCGTCGCAAGGCTGCCCAAGCGACAGCGCGAGTCTGATACCCTCTCACCGCGCTCGCCGACCGCGCAGAACTCTGGCATCTTTGCGTCGCCTGCCAAGTCTGCTCGCCTGGCCCTCGCGGCAGCCAGAGCTTCCCCGCCGCCTCTGACGGCAGCCGCAGCACTCGAGGACGAGCGCCGACAACGCAACGAGGAGCGCACTACTGCTCCTGGACCTACCAGCCCCAACCCGAGCCACGGCGCCCTCGAATCCCTCATGTCGGGCGCGACGCAAGCCATGAGCCGCCCTGCAGACGCGCCACAGATCGCGCCTACAGCCAACATGGACCCGGCCGTCAAGGCCGTTACGGCGCTGTCAATACCAACTGGGAGTGCCGTACGCGCCGACGACAATGGCGAGACGAGCCCGCAGAGCGCCACCAGTATGGGTGCCGTGCCCGTCACCGAGAGCCCTACGCCTATGGAAATTGACAGCAACAAGGCGGACCATCTTTCAGCACAGCAGGTAGCTGTGCAGGATGATCGCCCACAGCAGCCGGGATCCTTGTCGTATCCGGGATCGCTACAGGCAACGGGCGCCGTGCCAGAGCAGGTTGCGCGGGGCATGAGCTTTCCCATGCCGTCTCAGACACAAGGGTCCCCGACTTCTGGGACCGGCAAGAAGCACAAGTGCCCGTACTGCAACACAGAGTTCACGCGCCACCACAATCTTAAGAGTCATTTGTTGACACATAGTCAGGAGAAGCCGTACGTCTGCACAGACTGTCAGATGCGCTTCCGGCGACTCCATGACCTTAAAAGGCACGGTAAGCTGCACACGGGTGAGAAGCCGCACATTTGCCCCAAATGCGACCGCAAGTTCGCGAGAGGAGATGCCCTGGCACGGCACAGCAAGGGTGCTGGTGGTTGTGCGGGAAGGCGAGCTAGCATGGGAAGCTTTGCCGATGGCGACGAATTGGACGGTGGCATGGGCGAAGGCGATGAGTCCGCGCTATCGGGCATGCCTTACGACAATGGAGACGACGAAGAGTTGAGAAGGCAGAGCCTACCCAGCATGGGAACTCAGCCGTCTGGATCGGGTGATGGATACGGCGCACATGCCCGTACGTATCCGCCCGCCGGGCCGCGGCCAGCACCCGGCGGCCTCTATCCCCCCAATATGGGCCCGAGCCAGGCGACAGGCACGGCGACCAACAGCACCTCGAGTATCCCTAATAGCATGGCAAGCAGCCACACTGCCAACACGAGCGTCTCATCCGTCCCCGCGGCGGCGGGAAACTCAGGCATGTATTCCCAGTCCGGCATGACGGAAAGTCCAAAGCCGCTGAGCCCCGGCGTACCAGGACACGAAGCGTCCGGCAGTGGACGGCAACGCTCTCCGAGTCTCACGCAGCAATTTCAACAGCAGCAGCAACAGCAACAGCAACCACAGGGAGCGGGAAGGCGGGCATCGGAGCTCCAGTCTCCGCACAGCGGGCAGCCTCGGCCTAAGCTGCCGGGACTGTCGCACCCGGGATTCGCGGCGCCAAGCGGGGCGGGATACGCTCATGCGCGGGCGCCAAGCGGGACGCAAGTGGCCGGCGACAGCGGTAACATGTTTGCGCAGAGCGACCCGAGCGTCTGGGCATACATCCAGACGATGGAGGAGAAGTTCAAGTCGCTGACGGACAAGGTCTTGTCGCTGGAGGAAGAGGTAGCGGGCCTGAAGAAGGAGCTCGAGACCCGTGAGGGCGGCGCGACCGGGGCTACCGTGGCGACCGGGGCGACCACATCGTGAAGCGGTGTGATCCATGGGTCCGTGAAAGGTCGGCGTGGCACAGCAGCGCTTGGACGACGCGGCAACATTGCGGAGGAGGACTCGGCTTTGAAGGGTAGATACATTGTACCGGGCTGGATGTCGCTCGCTGCCCGCAGAGCAAAGGGGTCCGCAAGGGTTTCAAGTTGGGAACGGGCGTTTACAGGATTCAAGAACGGGCGACTGCAGCTTCAGCGATGGACGGGACCGGCATGGGATGGCAAAGTTCTGTGAGAATCCCACGACAGGAAGGGGGACGACGGGGGGAATTGTTCTCATAACTTGGTGCTCTCAGGTTCCTCCGCTGACGCCATCTGTACTATACAAGCTCGGTGTGCTTTTCTCAGACAGTTTGGGTTGCCTCATGGCAGGAGCAAAGGTCTAGCTTACATCTGGGGTTATTGACAGTGGAAAAGATAAGTCGTTGAACCAACCGGGACCCGAGGGCTACACAATGCCAGCATCTCGAAGTCGAGCTGTGAGGCAGCGTCGCCTGTGGCTGTGCGTAGGAAGCTGGTATCTTGCCCGACAAGGTGAAGCGACGGCACACATGCCTTGACAGTCAAGGTGTGATGGAGGTGAGGCGTTCGCCCGGGCATGTCACTCGGAACGGCGGCGAGGTCGTGTGACGCGGTGTCGATGACCTCTCGAAACACGATGGGTGTACCCCTTTCCACAAGCCAAGCGACCCCATCAGCCCGAAAGGGTACCATGCAGTCATCACCTGGCAGGTAAGTACCGAATTGGAGCGAGCCTCCAGAGCCCCCGTTATTCGGGTGGGCAACTTAGTTGCGGCACGTATGGTCCCCAAGGTTCCTTGCCCCTTGCTCGTCCTCACCTTTACCTGCCGGGCAACCCGCCCGCCCTGTATTCACGTGCTTGCCGGTCAGTACCGCACCTGTACCTGCGCCTGCATATTGCTAAGCAAAGGTACATAGCGTACATAATACTCCAGCCCACTTACCCGCACCCGCACCCACCCGCACCCGCCCGTCGGTACGTCATCGGGGCAGTCGCAGCCACAGCCGCAACAGCAGCACTCCTTCGATGCGAACCCGAGACCAACGTCGCAGCAGGCGCATTCGGGGCAGCTCTTCCCTCTACACTTCAGCCGACCCGAAAATTCGCCCGTCTGCACTCCCCTAACCCATCTGCCAACCGAGGGTCCTCAGCCGTACTTTACGAGTTCTCTTACATACTTGGCCGGCTGTGGTACCTGGAGCTCGAATTTCGTCGAAGCTGCCCCTAACAGCTGCATCAGCCGCCCTGCCTCGCCGCCCCCTTGAGAAGCGCCGGCCAGCTCGACCACTCCCTTAGACTCCTGCGCGGCCGAGCCGCTAGACAAGATGGCGAGCGCCGACGTCGCGCAGGCCGAGCCTTTACCGCTCAGTGAGTGCCGTCTTTCCGTTGTCCTCAGCAGCGGGCGATTGCGAGGCCTTGGGTCGGTGTTCCGACGACGGTCGCGACGCCAGGCCGAACTGCGCCTCACCTCACGGGCTGGCTGGATACGGAAACAAAGTCGGGAAACTCGCAGTCTGCGCAGAATGCTAATCGACTACAGGCGTGGATGAGCCTGACTTCAACGAAAAGGTGACGACAATTCCGAACCCGGTCGATAGCTCAACCGCGGCGCTGCTGCAGGAGGAGAGCAGTGACGAGACCCTCCTCACGGTACCTCATACACCCCACAAGACACTGCTTGAGCTACTGAGCAGCTGACACGCGTGAATAATCAGGACTCGCCCGCCGGCGATGAACCTTCAGAACCGCCCAACCCGACAAGTGGCGAGCCTAAGTCATATGCCGCAGTCGTCGCGGACGGTGAGACGGCGCCTCAGGCAGCCGCCAGGGCGAAGAAGATCGAGACAGAGGGCAGTGACACTCCTTATCCGCCGCTCAGGACCGAACGCTCTCACGGGCGACATGAGCGTGAGGCGTGGAGGGCAGGTGGCATCCGTTTCGCGCCTTTGCGGGTGCCCCTGACGCGGCGAATGCAGACAGGAGCGGTGCTCTTCCACTGCATGTCCATTGTCGTCATTGTGTCCATGTTTTGGTTCACGTGTGCCAACCCATTATCATGGCCCATCTTGGTACCGTATCTACTGCACCTGACAATGTCGACGGCGTCGACGGACGGGAAGCTCTCGTATCGCTCCGAGTGGCTGCGCTCGCTGCCGCTGTGGAGGCTGTTTGCGGGATACTTCCCCATGGCACTCCACAAGACGTATGACTTGCCACCGAACCGCAAGTACATCCTGGGCTATCACCCGCATGGCATCATCTCCCACGGCGCGTGGTGTGCCTTTGCGACCAACGCGCTCGGCTTTGGCGACAAGTTCCCCGGCATCACCAACAGCTTGCTGACGCTCGACTCCAACTTCCGCCTGCCGTTCTACCGCGACTGGATCCTGGCCATGGGCATCCGGAGCGTGTCCAAGGAGTCGATCCGCAACCTCTTGTCCCGGGGCGGACCAAACAACGACGGGCAGGGACGCGCCGTCACCATCGTCATTGGCGGTGCTCGCGAGTCTCTGGAGGCGCAGCCGGGCCACCTGCGGCTGATTCTCAAGGGCCGCAAAGGGTTCATCAAGATGGCGCTTCGCACCGGGGCGGATCTGGTACCCGTGATTGGTTTCGGCGAGAACGACCTCTACGACCAGCTCAGCCCGAAGACGCACCCCATGGTACACAAGGTGCAGATGATATTGCTCAAGGTGTTCAAGTTCACCATTCCCGCACTCCACGGGCGCGGCCTCCTCAACTACGACGTCGGCCTCATGCCGTACCGTCGGCAGGTCAACATCGTCGTCGGCAAGCCCATCGAGGTCAACGAGTCGCACGGAATGCAACCAGCACAGGAAGAGATTGACCGGTACCACGCCCTGTACGTGGCCGAGGTGGAGCGCCTGTTTGCGGCGTACAAGGACCAGTTCTCTAACGGCAAGGTGCCGGAGCTGGAGATTATCTCGTGAGCCTTGTGTGTGCGTGTGTGTGCGTGTGCGAGTGTCTCTTGTTTTGCGTCACGGTATGGAGGCACTCGGTGCTCCGCAGGAGCCGACAGCGCCATCTCGAGGAGCCATCTCGAGGACAAGAGTAGGTGGAAAGGTTGATATCATTACCGGAACACGGCACGGCGGGACGGGCTGGCAATTCGGCTGCAATCCGGTGCAAGCGTTAGTGCTTGTGCTCTTGCGCGGGCTCTGTAATACAATTTTTTTTTGGGATGATGCAGGCGCCGTAAGTTGCACGGCCACGTATGGATCGTGAGTTGTTGTGTCTCTGGCATGATGGGTTGTCTTGGTGGTGCTAAATTGCTAATTGATATCACCGTGTCACCTGACCTCGCGTTGTGCTTCTGGCGGGGAGCTCGCGCCACAGTCGCGTTCGCAGTACGTCGCTCCGACTGACGATAACCCTCTTTGATTCTGCGGTGCAAAGGTTCCCTTCTCAGTCAGCAGCTTCACTCCGCGACGCAGGGGACGCACACGCACGCACGCACGCACGCACGCACGCACGCACGCACTCACGCACTCACGCACTCACCAGCCCCCGGCCGCCGCCTCGTCCCAAGATGGCCCGTTCGTCCCCGCGGAAGAAGCCCACAGTTAACTACAACGAGGACGACGCCCCCAAGCCGCTCGCCAAAGTCGTGGCAAAGGCTAAGAACCTGGTCGCCAAGACTACGCACAAGCGCAAGGCTGCGGCAGAAGCAGACCACGCCGACGACGACTACGACGAGGTCAACGGCAACGGCAAGGACACGCCCGCCCCCGCCGCCAAGAAGCGCAAGACGGCCAAAGCCAAGAAGGAGGAGCAGGGCGGAATGCCTCTCACCGAGCGGACCGCCGTGGCGTCGCTGAAGAAGGCCATGTACATTGGCGCCCACGTCAGCGCCGCAGGAGGTACGTGCGACACGCGAATCGGACGGACAGTTGGATGGCCCTCTTCGATGGAAGCCGGGCATGTATGAGGAATCTTAGACTGACAGACAATAAACCCCCTCCGTCAGGCGTCCAAAACTCCATCCCCAACGCCGTTCACATCGGAGCCAACGCCTTTGCCCTCTTCCTGAAATCGCAGCGCAAGTGGGACAACCCGCCCATCACCACCGAGGCGCGCGACCTCTTCCTGCACAACTGCAAGGAGCACGGCTACGACGTCGGCTCCCACGCGCTCCCCCACGGCTCCTACCTGGTCAACCTGGCGCAGGCCGACGCCGCAAAAGCGAACCAGGCGTACGCGAGCTTCGTCGATGACTTGCGCCGTTGCGAGCAGCTCGGCGTGCGCCTGTACAACTTCCACCCGGGGTCCACGCTCGGCGACGCGAGACCCGCCGCCATCGCCCGCATCGCCGCCCAGCTCAACAAGGCGCACCGCGAGACGCGCAATGTCGTCACCGTGCTGGAGAATATGGCTGGCGGCGGCAACGTCATCGGTGCTGCGTGGGAGGACCTCCGCGACATCATCGCCCTCGTCGATGACAAGGACCGCGTCGGCGTCTGCATTGATACGTGCCACGCCTTCGCCGCGGGCCACGACCTGCGCACCCCCGAGGCCTTCAGCGAGACCGTGGGCGCCTTCAACGACATCGTCGGCGCCAAGTACCTGAAGGCTTTTCACCGTACGTTGAACGCATGCCCCCTATCTATCCCTGTGCCCGCCCGTAACCCCAATGGCGGTGATGACGCCCTTCTCAATCCTCTACATAACCCCGTCGTCCACATTGCTGACGCACTCTCTTTCTCCTGCAGTCAACGATAGCAAGGCGCCCTTCAACTCTAACCGCGACCTGCACGCCAACATCGGCACCGGCTTCCTCGGCCTTCGCGCCTTCCACAGCATCATGAACCACGACGCCTTCCGCGGCCTGCCCATGGTGCTCGAGACGCCCATCGACCGCAAGGGCCCCGACGGCAAGTCCGTCGAGGACAAGCAGGTTTGGGCCGACGAGATCAAGCTCCTCGAGAGCCTCATCGGAATGGACCCGGAGGGCGACGAGTTCACCGCCACCGCCAAGAGGCTGCAGGCCGAAGGCGCGGGCGAACGCAACAAGATCCAGGACCAGGTGGACAAGAAGGTCGCCAAGGACGCGAAGAAGGCTGCCGGCACCATGAGGGGCAAGGGCAAGGGCACGGTCAAGGGCAAGAGGAAGACGAAGGCGGAGGCGTCCGATGATGAGAGCGACTGAGGTGGTACGTAGGCATCGATGACACGATATTGGCCATCTCGCCACAAGCATCGCTCTGTATAATTATGGAGAGACGGGGACACGGTGTTCGGGGAGGTCATGACAAATCATTGTACAATGTATGAACACAAAAGCAGATTAGGGTATTCATCGCAAATGCTGTCTAATAGCCAGATGCACTTTCAGCTCTTTCCATCCAGCCTCGAGCCGAACCGGCCCATCATCACAAACAAAGTAAATCACAGAATGCGCCCGCCGTCTAGAACATCCAAGCAACGCTCCAGACCCATCCAATGATCATCGACATCATCTTGCAGAGGCTGGCATAAATAAATCACCAACCGATAGGGGAGAAGCGAGGAGAGCAGCCCAGATCGAGCTCACTTGCGGCTCCTCGCATTCGCCTCAAGTCTGCCCACGAGCGAGCGCAGGCCCACGCCCCTCTCGCAGTTGGCCTCGAGCCACGCCTCCATGCGCTCGCGGACGGCCCTCATGGACCGCAGCACGGGCATCTTGCCCGCCTCCTCGGCCTCGAGGTGCGACCCCGGGTTGAGGAGCACGTCGAAGCAGTCGCCCCAGAGGTCCGTCTGCCAGTAGCGCTTGAGGCTCTCACGGATCCTGTACTTGCGGCCTGTCTTGCCCAGGCCGCCCTGGTCGCAGCGCGCCGTCTCGATGTACTTGCCGAAGAGGAGGCAGTGGACGGTGCCCGCGAGGCCGTGGTAATCGATCTGCCAGGTCCAGGGGCGGCCCTCGCGCATCTCGGCGCAGTCCTGGGACGACGTCTTCCAGTCGGCGATGAACTCGACGTCGGGGACGAACGCCTTCATGTCGATGCTTCGGCCAAAGTCGATCAGAACGATGCCCCTCGACGACCAGCCGCCGCTGCCGTCGGCCTTCCACTGCGTGGCCAGGGTGTGGTCGGTAGACGCCGAGTCTAGCCGCAGGAGGCAGTTGTCAGGCTTCAGGTCGCCGTGCAAGACGCCCTTGGCATGCAGCGACTCCACGGTCCTAAGGAGCTCGATGGTGAAGAACATGACCAGCTGCTCCTCCATGACGCCCGAGGGCTCTGCACGGAAGAGATTGACCACGTCCAATAGGGTTCCGTCTGGGTGGTAAGGCAGGAAGAGGAAGGCTTCATCGCGGTATAGATGCATCTCGTGCGCATAGGAGAGACTGGCGCTGGCTCGATGCTGCGGGCCAAGGCGAGTATGTGCCACACGCATCATGTGGAACTCCCAGGCGGAGGGGGGCGCCTCCATCTTTAGAGCCTCCAGCTCGCCGCGATGGTTCACAGCAAACGCGCCCTTGCCCATGGCTGCGACGGCATTCTCGTCGTTCTCCTGCTCGTTGGGCGCCGAGTTCTCCACCAGATACACCGGTGCAAATGCCCCTGCTCCCAACTCCCGCCTCACCGTGTACACGCTCCTCGTGCCCGGCAAGTCGATGACGACGGGCTCTGGGACTGGGGTTGTCCTATCCGCGCTGCTTCTGCTAGCCTTTGTCAAGGCTTTGGCAAACTTACGGATCTCGCCTCCATGCTCGTATTTCTCTTCCTGGTGATCGTGGAAACCGGCGTATGAGGTGAGCGGTGGCTGGACCTTGTTCAAGATCTCCAGGCGGATTATCTCGTCGACAGGGTTGCACTGCTGCTCTTTGATGATTGGGCCCTTCGGCGCGAGCGGCTTGGTCGAGGCTTTGAAGGGCGGAGCAGCGATCTTCGGCTTTAGAGACTCTGGGATCTTGGGGATAGGGGGCTCATCGAATTCAGCGTCTCGCAAGGGACTACTGAGAGGTTCCAGGTCCAGGGGCTCGCGCATAGCGGGCGAAGCATCGTCCCTCCTGCACGGCGTCTTCAAGCGCGAGTCGTCGTCGGCCATCACGTCCAGAGACACCTCGGTCCTCTCGGTGATTGGAGTCATGAACGGCAGTCGATTATTCGCCGCCTCGGCCGGGTCCCTATACGGACGAGTCGGAGGGTCGTAATCTTCTGGCGGCACGGGTACGAAGATGGTACGGGTCCTAGGGGGTGAGGCTTCGTCGTCGTCTGGCGTCTCGGCGTCGGCGCCCTCTGGGGGAGTGACGGGGTCCGCATGGTCAAAGTCCTCCTCCGGCTCGCCATCTTCATTGAGTCTGGAGACATGCGTGTGATCCTCTCCCTCGTCGTCCTCATTGTCGTTGGCGCCAATGTCGGGAATATGTTTACGCGTTGAGAACTCGGACCATTCGCTCACGCTCTTGGCATCAGACGCCTCGTCGTCAGCATTGTCAATGTGTCTCGTGGTGCCTGTGCTCTCGGCGTCGGTTGTGTAGTCTCCATCCGTTTCGTAGTCATCTTCATCGGCGCTTTCCTCTTCATGACCGGCCGGCTTGAGAGGCGCATTGAAGATGTCATATATGTCGTCCGTGGCCGCCTTTGTGTGAAGGGTCATTGTCGGCTCCGAGGTTTGCTTCTTACGCAGCTTAGGCCCCGAGGGGGAGTCGAGCTTTGCTTTGACTGGGACGCTGTTAGGATGAATACCTCGGCGAACAGGTGTCGTGTAGCACTTACTGATCTGCGTCTCGTTCACCTCCATAACCTTCTTCTTCTTTCCGGCCCGAGGCTCGCGAGGCGGCGGTTGCATGACTGCTCCGTTTTCGTCGTAAACGGGACCGTCTTGGCGGACGACAAGCTTATCGGCCATGCCGTTGCTGATTTCCTCAATCTCATCCAGCTGATGGCTAGGCTCTGGGACGATGCTATCGTCCACGGTCTCCTCATCCCAGGTGTGGCCGAGCCAGCCCCTGTTCGCGGCGACAATCTCCTCGAAGCTCAATTCTGTCCCTTGCTCTTCCGGAGTCGGGTATATGGCTGCAAGGTCAACAAAGATGCACTCCTTCTTGCCCGTCTGCGGGTGCACCGTCACTTGGTTCTTGGAAGGAACAACGACGATGTTGTTTATTTGAGACAGAGACTGAAGTACACAAGAGCGCCAATGCCAGAAGAAATTAGTTCTATTCAAATCAACATTTGGGCGTAAGATGGAAGGGGGCCGAGAGGGGGCTTACCGGATCCCTGAACACGGCCATCTTTGCCGCGGCCGCGTCCCTCTTCCCTCCTGCCTTGAGCGTCTCTCCAACCCATGGCTTCGGCTCCATCGTGTTTTCTTTCTTGCGGTCGGCCAAGGAGTCGATGGTGTCCCACCCTTTCGAACCTTCGCTTCTCGACGACAAGGGGGCCGGCTTCGCGTCGGCGTCAGAGAAGATGGCGAGCTTCGACTTGGCCGGTCTCGCCGAGGGGCCGGGCCCGCCGATGCCGTTCGTTTGCCGTGGGGCTTGAGGGTCGACAGGCCGCGAAGCCGCACCGAAGGGGTCCATCTTGGCCGCCAGCGCCGGCCGCATGGTGGGGAGCGCGGGCGACGCTGGCTCGTCCGCTCCTTCGGGCTGCTGAGCAAGCCTCTCCTCAAACTCCTTGAACTTGCGCAGCAGCCGCTGGACGGGCCGGGCCTCGCGCTCGATGCCCAATTTGTACACCTCGCCGGCCTGCGCCCACCGCCCGGCGCCCTCGAGCCACGCAGAGTACTCTTCGTAGAATAGCGCGAGGCCCTCTCCGATGCCGTGGCGAGATAGAAACATGTACGTCTCGCGTGGCGCATCTGAGAAGAACTGGATGTAGTAGACCCAGAGCTTCAGATAGCGCGGGTCGTTCTTGTACTGGGCTGAGCTGATGAATGTCTTCGTCGCTCGCTCGAGAAGAGTGTGAAGCTGCGACTGCGGTGTTGCCTGCGCCGACGGGTACGCGTCTAGCGTCCATCGGACGTACCGGTCAAACACATCGAGGGGGTCGTCCGATTCTGAGATGTTCTGCACCTCGGCCTCGTATTCTGCGCGGATGCAGTCGTTGACGTTCTTTGTGTCTGACGGCGTCGGCGTGGACAGCTTGTGAAGGGGCGATGGCGAGTAGAGGTCGGCGAGCTTCTTGGCCGAGCGACCGCCGGGCAAGGACTGGATGTTTTCCTTGTGGCCCTCGATCACCTCGAAGTCGATGAGGTCTCCAGTGGCCGGCATGGTGGGTTAGTTCCTTGGTTCGTGGCCGGCGCCTGCGGCGTTTGCTTGACTGTCGTGGATGGCGAGCCTGCAGCCGAGAGCCGTTGCTGTCAGGGGACGGAGCTGGTTGATAAATGTTGTCGTGCGCATGTGTCAGTGAGGCAGAGCGGGTTGATGAGCTTGGTTTAGTTCCAAGGTTTGTTGTGCAAACCGCGTCGTTGCCGTGGAGACAGCCACAGGTGGCAGCCACAGCGGGCGCAACACCTGGCAGCACCCGTGGACCCGCCGTGGCGCCAGTCATCGACTGCCACTAATAATCCCTGGTAGGTAGGTACCCGCCCAGCCTGCCCACTGTGCTCTCCCAGGCCTTTCTGGTGACCGTCCTGTCAGCCTCGCACATGTGTCAGGTCATACACTCTTCAGCGATGAAGTCGGGTCCTCATGCTCAAATTTCACTTTTTTTCATCGCTTCATCTGCACGGTCCGTACTATCTGCGGCCTTTTCTATCTAGGGCCGGCTTCCGGGTTTTGGTTTTGCTCATTTCCAAGGGCCCTTCTCGAGAACTCCTCACCGAACCTTGCGTGCGCCAGCTACATCCACGTTGCTCATGGCAATCACCCTTTACAGGTTAACCGACGTGCGGAAGTTGGCGCCGGCGTAGATCGCCTGGTCGCCCAGCTCCTCCTCGATGCGGAGGATCTGGTTGAGCTTGGCCAGGCGCTCAGAGCGGCAGGGGGCACCCGTCTTGATCTCGCCAGATCGGATACCAACGACGATGTCGGCAATGGTGACGTCCTCAGTCTCACCGGAGCGGTGAGAGACCATGACGCCCCAGCCGTCGGCGTACGAGTCCTTGGCGGCCTGGATCGACTCAGTCAGGGTGCCAATCTGGTTGACCTTGAGCAGCAGGGCGTTGCAGGCCTTGAGGTCGATGGCCTTCTTGATACGGAGGGGGTTGGTGACCGTCAGGTCATCGCCAACAATTTGGATGTTCTCAGACTTGTAGAAGTAGCTCCAGGCCTCCCAGTCGTCCTCGGCGAAGGGGTCCTCGATGGAGACGATGGGGTACTTCTTGCAGAGATCCGAGTACATGGCAGCGAGCTCCTCGTACGTGATCCACTTGGTGGGGTCGCTCTCGGGGTTCTTGAAGTCGAGGTCGTACTTCTTCTCGGCCTCCTTGTAGAACTCGCTGGAGGCAACATCCATGGCGATGTTCATCTTGCCAGTGTAGCCAGCCTTCTCAATGGCCTCGGTGATGAGGTCCAGAGCCTCGGCAGCGGTCTGGATATCGGGAGCGACACCACCCTCGTCGCCGACGTTGCCGGCAGACTGACCGTACTTCTTCTTGGCCAGGCTCTTGAGCTGCTGGTAGACCTCGGCGCCCTGGCGCATGGCCTCGGAAAAGGAGGGGGCGGCGCTGGGGACGATCATGAACTCCTGGAAGGCAAGACGGCCACCGGCGTGGGAGCTAGGGGGGCTCGTTAGCACCATGATGCTGCTCTCACATGGCTAAGGGGATCAAGACTCACCCGCCATTAAGGACGTTCATGAAGGGAACGGGGAGGACGTAGGGCTTCTTGGTGCCCGCGAGGTCGGAGATGTGGGCGTACAGAGGGACACCCTGCACAGCATCGTTAGCACAATGGTGCGCCCGGGAACCAACAAGGTTGCGCTCACCTTCTCAGCAGCACCAGCCTTGGCAATGGCCAAGCTGACGCCGAGGATGGCGTTGGCGCCGAGCTTGGTCTTGTTGGGGGTGCCATCAAGGCCGTTGAGGAAAGCGTCGACCTTGGACTGGTCCTTGACATCGAGGTTCTCCTTGATCAGGGCAGGGCCAATGACAGTGTTGACGTTGTCAACGGCCTTGGTGACGCCCTTGCCGCCCCACTTGGACTTGTCGCCGTCGCGGAGCTCACATGCCTCGTGCTGGCCTAGGATTCTCGGTTACGCATTGCATCGGCATGGAGGGGCGGGTGAGGATCGGGACGAACCGGTAGAGGCGCCAGACGGGACAATGGCGCGGTGGAGGCCAGTCTCGGTAACGACGTCAACCTCGACGGTGGGGTTACCGCGGGAGTCGTAGACGGAGCGAGCGTGGACCTTGGTGACGGCCATCTTGAAGAACTGTCGCTATCAAGGCGGTGGGCAGATTCTGGAGCACCTTGTCAGCAGTCTGTTTCAAGTTGTTTTGACAGTGAGCCCGGGCGGCTGGTGTACGGGAGGGTTGCGATGGTGGGGGCGGGGCAGCAGCGTCAGCGGCAACAGCGCCAGCAGCAGCACCACAGGACTCGCAGCGAGACACAGGATGGCGGGGTCAAGATCTGAGACGCGAGGCCACTAAAGCGCAGCGACGACGACGATGGACCACGACAGCCATCGTGCAGCGACTCAATCGGCGGGCAGCAAGTGGTGTGCTCACAATATGCCTCACACAGAGGCTGCGAGCCGTGGTGGTGGGCTGTTGCGGCGGCGGCGGCGAGCTGAGCTGTGGAGGGGTACCTCGACCTCGTACGCGGTTGCAAGTTGAGGGCCTGCCGGCATCGAGGGCTCGTCCGGATGGGACGGACAGTGCAATTGGGACAGAACAGACCGACATACCTGAAGCTGGGGGCGAGTGCAGCAAGAGTCTCGAGAGCGCGGTCCCGAAAGTTGTGATGCGAGGAGCAGAAGTGTTTGTTGAGGAGAGAAGAAGACGGATGGGGAGAGGAAGGGAGCAGCAACATGTTTTTGGCCTGCACCACCGGGCTGGGCTGGTTGCTGGTGCCACCCAGGCCTTGGTGGGTGCCCGCGCTCCGGCTGGTGGGTGGACAGGCGCTCCAGCTGCGTGCAGTGCTCTGACTTTTGGCTGGCCGGCACGGCTCCAGCTCCATCCACCTTGTCTGCATCCTGCACCTCACACTCGTCCAAGAGCCCTGGAGGTCGCTGGCGGCGGAGCTTGTTACTCACCGTCAGGGTGGGGCCAGGCGCCAGGCTAGGTCGCTTGCGGACGACGCAAAAAATGGTCTCAACACGGCGATAAGGGTTTACCTTTGACACGACGCTATTAGGCCGCCCCCGGCAGGTACCGTCTTACTCGTGGCCGTGGCCTGCCACTGCGCGACCGGCCCCAGCCAAACGCGCCCATATCATGAGACTGTCCTGACGCCCGGGCAATCAATCGCACGCATCCGTTGTCGGACAACGTGACAATTGCTGCCGCGCCGATAAGACGCCCTGTGCCGTATCGTACCATCCATGGGTGCTGTCGCCGTACTGATATTGCGAGGGCGTAACTGGCCGTGGTGTCTCCGAAGAACATCCGTCATCCAGGCAATCCTTGCTCCCATTTCTATTAGTAGGCGGTGCTACCAACGTCGTGTCAAAACTATTCGTAAGATTTCCCCCGTGCACTGAAGTTGTATGCGATGGAATGCTCCCCTCCCAAACGCCGGGAATATCATGAAACTGCAACAGAGGCAGACCGTAACCAAGCGCTTTCGTTCGTGACCCATGCCCCCTTGGTTTTAAAATCTCTCCTTCATCCTGGCTGCCACCGTCCTCAGGTTCCCGTACACCTTGCCCGGGGGCTTGCCCAGAATCAAGCTGACCACCGACTCGCGGGCCATGTGGATGTTCTTGAAGCCGCCCAAGATGTGAATCTTGGAGTCGGCGAGCACGATTCTCGTCCGGCTGGCGTTCTCAATGGCAAACTTGGTCTTGCCGTCCTTGCCGGCGATGCGACCGATCGCGCGCGCTTGGCTGTCTCCGTGCATGGTCCTGACATCCTTAATCTCGAATGTCTCGATGTAAAGGTCGTCCAGTCGCAACAGAGCGACGGCATCGTCCACCTCGAAGCCAAGGGTAAACGCCTTGACAAAGTCCTCGCCCTTTTGCAGCGCCCCCGTGTCGACGGTGTGCTTCGACGTGCGCAGCTCCACCGTCTTGCGCTTAATGTTCATCCGGCACTGCAGCTTGAGGTGCTCGACGAGTGGCGGGTAGATGGACGGCCACGCCTGCTTGAGGGGTGTCATTCGGTGCGGCGGGACGGGGATCTTGCGAGTTTCCACTCTAGTCACAGGGTCCTGCAGAATAGTTAGCCACCGTGCATCTCCACGAACAGGGCTTCAGTAGACGCTGGACGTACAATATCCCTGGCAGGCGCAAATCGTGGCCGACCCTCCTCGTCGATTGCCATGGCGTCGTCGCCCTCCGGATCTTGCGATGCCACGAACGGCGTCTCTGAGGGAGTGGCATCCTGCGCGTCGAGCAAGAACTCGTCGTCATTGACTGTCCCCCGTGTCAGTATTTCTCCAGTTGGTCAACGTCGGATCAGGATGGTTTTTACCCTGCTCTTCGAGAGACACCTCGGGCTGGAGCGGGGTCTCTTCCGCCTTTTTCAAGGCCGTCGGTGCGGGCATCGTCGCGGACTGCAGTGTCGAGTTCGGGGGCCGAATGATTCTTGGAGTAGCGATGATGCAAATGGACGGCAGAGAGCGGCAGCGAGTGTGCTTGCAGAATCGCAGAAATCTCGTTGCGTCGGGCCTTGGATGGTCGGGTCGATGAAGAATTGGCAGGGTCCAAAGCGCCCACCGCCAAATCGCCGTGGCGGTTCTGCCACCCACCCACCCGCTGTTGGAAAATTTGTGGTGGCTTATCGGGGCTTATCGATTGGGCTGCCCGCTGCTACCCGTTCCTGGGTCGCAGACTCCCAGTGCTCCCAGTAGCGCGTCATGGATCGACTTTTATAAGCTTCACAACGGCCGGCTTTGCGACCAGGACCCAGAACGACATCCCTCGTCACGGGGACATTGCCATCTCCTACTCATCGGTGCATTGTCTCGTGCAGACAGGCGCCATGAGCTGGAACCATGACTAAGGGCTTCCCTTCCTGGTTGATCGGAAGCCGTTTCGTCGTCGCAGCGAGCCAGCCTCCTCGAATTGCGGGCGGCTTCATGCGTGGCAAGCTCCCGCTATCCCCGAGCCGATTATCGCCATCCGCGACGACAGTTCAACGATCGCCGGCACATCGAAGCTCGCACAGCCTATCTCGGCCTTCCTTTGTGCTTGAGCATGGCATCTTGTTGTCAAGACGCGCCCAGCCGCCCAGCTGGGCGGCCGCAGGCATTACCAACGAACGCCACGGCCGCGGCCCCATCGCTGCTTCAATATGGCGCCTACAGCATCGCGCTTACGCCTCCTCCGAACGACAAAATACCCCGAAACCGAATCCGGAGAGGCAACCGACGTCAGTCGCCCCCGGTGACAAGCATGCCAAACCCGCGACAGGCCAGGAGGACGCAGCTAGTCCCGAGACCGAAGCCGAGTCGATTGCCGCATCCGTATCCAAGTACCTTCATCTGCCGAAGATGCCGCATAGGCCTTCCAAGGAGGAGCTCTTGGCTGCTGCCAACGGCTTCTGGGAACGAGTGCGGGTTCGGTTCAAGTGGATGTCCATCAGGAGCATGAGGCCCTGGAACGCCGACGAGTGGGGGGCCTTTGTGTCGTGGTTCATGCTTGGCCACCTGGTGTGGATTCTTGTCGGAACCACTACGTTCTTCTCCCTCCTCATCTTCTCTATCAATACTGTGTTTGCTCAAGGTACGATCCGCGCCTGTATCCCAGCGACCCAGACCAAAGCTAACTGCCGCCACCAGAAACACTGGCAAAATGGGTAGGCGACTACCTGACACAGTCCGCCGGAGTGACGGTGGTCTTCGAGTCAGCCATCGTACCCAAGTGGAAGAATGGCGTGATAGCTTTTCGTAACGTCTTCGTCTCGAGGCGCCCGGGACAGGTCGAGTCGTCAGTGAGCAAAGGATCGTCTGACGCCGCTGCGGTTGCTGCCGCGGGCCGTCAGGCGCAGCTCGCCGGCTCGGAAGATACAGAAGACGATGGAAACTACACGCAGTTCGACGTGACCATTGCCAACGTCAACGTCACGCTGTCCTTCATCAATTGGTGGAGTGGAAAGGGGCTTCTCAAGGATGTCGAGGTCACGGGGGTCCGAGGAGTCCTCGATCGAACCTCGGTGGTGTGGCCTGCGGAGCAAATCGACCCTCTCTCCTACCGACATACCCACGAACCTGGGGATTTCGAGATCGAGTCGTTCAAGCTCGAGGATCTTCTCCTGACCATTCATCAACCAGACGGCTTCCGCCCGTTCTCAGTCAGCATATACTCGTGCGAGTTGCCACAACTACGAAAGCAGTGGCTGTTTTATGACTTTCTGTCGGCCAGCCACATGTCGGGGTCTTTTGATGGCTCCCTGTTCACGATTCACCCTCGACAGGTTCATGGCGTGGTGTCGAGCAATGGACAGGGCGCCATGCTCGGCGTTGGAGAGCCCAGTGCCTGGAAAAAGTTCAGCAGGCTGAGGATAGACGGCCTGAAGATCGACCACTTGAATCGTGGCGTCGAGGGCCCCTTTGGATGGATCTATGAGGGCAACGTGGATATTGTTGCCGACGTCATGTTCCCAGCCGACACGGATGAAGGCATCACAAAGGTCATGTCTGACTTTTACGACCAACTGGAGGAAGCCGTCATCTCGAACCGGGCTCGCTTCCTGCAAAAAGCCGCGGACACGGCGCCAGATATTTTACGATCCGGCCACCTCTCTGAAGCTTCGGGTCAGCCTCTCGACGAGCACCCAGCTGAAGATGGTAGCAATGGCGAGCAAGAGGAGGAGGACCGCCGATATCTCATCATGGACATGCGGATCCACCTCAACGACGTCAAGGCTGCCGTGCCGCTGTTCACCCGCGACATATCTTACATCAACCAGGCGCTCGTGCGGCCCATTGTCGCCTACATCAACGCCAAGAAGACGTATATACCCATCGCCTGCCGCATCGTCAAGCGGCTCAACGACTTTGACGGCAGCTGGACCGTGTTCGACTGCGGCCTCATGGACGACGCGTCGGCCGAGACGTACGAGGCCTTCGCCAAGGACGTCGAGGACCAGCAGAGCCGCGTCAGGCGCTTCAAGAAGGTCGGGTTCTGGACGCTCTCGCTCGCCGTGCACGCCCTCTTCATGGGCATGGCGGGCAACGTGGTTTAGACGGGCGGGTGTTGTTTATCCATCATCATCATCATCAGGCCGCGCGCGACATGAATATGCAACTCTCTGCTCTTGGAATTCTTACGAGGGGGCGCACGGTAGAGGTAATGACGTGGCTGGCGCCTCGGTGGGAAGAGAAAACATGTACAACGAACGGTGGGACGGGGAGCGCTTGTTTGACCCGGGGTTCCGCATGGCGTTTGGGCGATTTAGCACACCTCCATTGTACGCTTGTGAGGCGTAACCATGATCGGCGTCTGGCCCAGCAGGGTCGGTTGAGTGTACGCAACGGCTTCTTTAGTGATCTGATACCCTAGCTTTACTACGCGCTGACACGAGTATCGATTCGACGATAGTGCAATCTCTCGCAATGAGACGCCGAAGTGGTAGATGTTGTTCAAATTCAGGCCGAGTTGCTTTTGCATTCTAATTCTGGCCACCTTTCCCCTGCTTTAAGCCCGTGTTGCCACTGCCATGATTCCCGATGTGCGAGGGAGGAGGCGGCGGGGAGGAGGCGGGCAACAGTCTGCCGTCTGCCGTCTGCCGTCTGACAAAAATCCATCTATAAACGCCCTTGTCCCAGTGCCATGCAAGCACCTTTTCATTACATGCCAAACCATGCCCCCACCGCCATCAATATCTCTCGGCCCCTCCGTTGTTGCCTATGTCGGAGCTTGGCGTCGGAATCAAAGTCGGAGCCTGAGCCGAAGTGTGGATAAGCGCAAGGCCATTCTCAGATGCCCCGTGTCCGTCTGCCCGCATGGCACTGCTGGACGGGTTGATGTCACCGCGAACCGACGCTTGACTCGGTTCGAGTCCATCGATGTGCAAGCGACGAGGAGGCAAGCAGCCAAGTGTGAAAGCCGTTAGCTGCTTCACATAAAGTCATCACTGCAGGAAACTGTTAGCAGGAGCACGGCTAGGACGCGAGACGAGGGCTCGACGTACTCTCCAAACGCATCGTCATCATAGGTGGCGGTATCCGTCGTGTTAGGGCGGCTGGTGACCAGAGACGTCTTGGTCTTGGCGGCCTTGGACTTCTTGCCACCCTTCTCAGCAGCCTTCTCTTCCTTCATCTTCTCATTGCTTAGACGAGTAAGGGCGCTGGCAACCTTCTTGACCTGATCGCTGTTCATCTCCTTGGCCAGCTCCCTGACGAACTCTTCGAGGAAAAGGCCATAGTGGGCCTTCTTGCCGTTGCCAGAAATGATGGGAGCAAGGGTGGTGCGCATCTGCTCGAACTGCTTCTTGGTCTGAGGGTTGAAGAGCGGAAGAGCATTCAGGTTCACGGTGTTGGTGGGGTCCTTGGAATCGACAACGACGGCGGCGCCAATGGTGGGAGCCTTGCGGCCGCTGTTGAGGCCCACGGTGCCGAAAAGATCCTCTGCGTGCTTGAGGTCGGCCTCTTGTTCGGTGCGGCGGATACGCTCACGGCGCTCGGCTTCGGTCTCGTCATCCTCGCTCTCCTCCTCATCCTCGGCGCGTTGGCGGGCACGCTCGGCCTGGTGGCTGGCGATGCGCTCGGCCTTGCTCTTCTTGTTCGCGGCGGCTTCGGCGGCGACCTTGGCCTTGGCCTCGGTGGCCTTGCGTTCCTTTTCACGCTCTACCTCGGAATCCTCGGCGGCATCCCAAGACTCGAGCACCTGCGAGTGACATGCTGGTCAGCGCGAACAAGGCAGCGCTGGAGAACGGGCGTTGCCGACTTACATCGCTATCATCTTCCTCGTCACCGAACTGACGGCGGCGGGCGGCAGTGACAGGAGGCGAGGAAGGCGGAGTGCTGGAGTCGGACTCCTCTTCGTCTGTGGTAAAGTAGCGGTCAGCGAAAAGGCGCCCAGGAATAGAGACAAGCTGGCATGTGCTATGCCAGGATTGCATGCAGTCGATCCCCACTGCAGCGCATCGCGCAGGCAGCGGAGAGGCTCCCGAGAAGGCTGGCTGTTCAGACTACTGCGATGGACGTGTTGCGTTCGCGCGACGACGGTTTTCGTCGCACAGGCGCGGAGGACAGAACGACGGAGGATTGTCAAGGCATACCCCACTGTTTCTTGGCAGGCATGATGTCAGTTATTCGGACTTGGTGTCGTTGGACGCTGGATTTGACGATCGCGTGGGCGGGTTCAGTCGTGCACAGTGGATAGGCGCGTCGACGAGGGCTTGGGGAGTGGCAGGTGGAAAGTCGCAAAAGAGGCCTACGGAGGGGGGGCGGGCAAGAGAAAAGACCAGCAGGCTCGGCGGAGGTGGATTTTTTTTGGCCGTGTGGGCGGCGGTTTCGCGCGGGAAGGAAGGGAG